GTCCATGTGGGTTAGATTAGTTCATTTATGTGCCATTTATCAGTGCTGATTTTCTAATCACTGATTTGCTACTCCTAAACACTTTTGCTGTTTGAGAACATTCTTGTGGCTGGAGAAAGGCTCCATCATGAGATCAAGAAAGAATGCATTTGTCACATTCTGTTGAAATGACTGGCTGTGGCATATGTAGCCCAGGGATGCTTGTTTGCATATAATTTGATGATAACTTAAAATATTGAGGTATAATTTACATACTGTAAAATTCACCCATTGTAAGTGAATAATTTATAGTGTTTTTTAGTAAATTTCCAGAGTTGGCAACAATCCATAATTCAGTTTTAGAACATTCACATCTCGCCCCCCACCATCCGGCCTCATAAGATCCTTCATGTCTATTTACAATGAATTCCCTTTCCTACTTCTTATCTTGGATTTTCCTGGTGGCTCAGTTGGTGAAGAATTTGCCTGCATTGCAGAATACCCCAGTTTAATCCCTTGGTCGGGAAGATCCCCTGGAGAAGGAAATGGCAACCCAATCCAGTATTCTTGCCTAGAGAATCCCATGACTACAGACTGTAGCCTGGCTACTGTCCATGGGGTCACAAACAGACATGACTCATCGACTAAACCACCACCGCTCCTCATCTCAGGGAACCACGGATCTGCGGCCTGCCTCTATAAGGCAACTTATAGAACATAAAGTTTTCATTTGTTTTCAATACCTTTTGGGGGGAATTAGATTTATTTGGTGGAGCTTCCTTGTTCAGAAGTGGAACTTCTATTTGAGATACTGTTCTCACGGAGAGAGAAACTTGAGATGGTTTATTGTAGATTGAGTATCTGGAAAATTGGTGCTTGAAAAGTGCAAACTGTGCTTGTTGTACTGTTTAAAGCATCATTTGTTAGTCTTCATTTCTTGAAAGAAGAAGCCCAAGATATAATTACGGGGTTTGCCCAGGGCCTCACGGCCTTGGTAGATTCTCCTATGAAAACCTGGGCCTCATGGCACCAGGGTCACAGATCTGACCTAAAGCACAGGTGCTTTTTGCTTTCTTTATGCTTCTTAAACATTGTTGATTTGTGCTGACCTCAGCCATGCCCTGGAATCCTCTATGGCTCCCTAGTTTGATACAGGAGCCAGACTGGCCTTGGCTCAGTCCACAGGACACACAGCTTCATGTGGCTTGGTCCTTAACTTCTCTTAGCCTCAGTTTCCTCATCCATAGAATACTCATCATAATAGTGCCTACCCTGCAAATTGTTCTGAGGGGTAAACAAGAAAAGCACATTAAATTCCTGGACATAGCAGGGACTTCTTAAGTGTTAGCTGCTGCCCCTGCTAGGAGTCTCCTCTTGCTTTGAAATTCACCATTTGCTAGCTGTGTGACACTGGGTGAGTCAGTTAACTTCTCTAGGCCTCAGTTTCTCTTTAGTAAAATGGGGTTAAGGTGAGTGCCTACCCTGTAGTATTTTTTGCTCTGAGGAGTAAATGAGATAATCCATCTAGAGGGCTAGGAACAAGGCCAGGCTGTAGTTAGCATGCTTGGTAAATGTAGGATGGTGCTATTATGAATTACTCTTAAAAGTTACTTCAGGGAGTACCCTATATTGTAGTCAAATATTTCCTGGCAAATTTTAAGTAATGTTTTTCCCATCAGGGCATGGTCATTACAAAAAAATAAAGTAAAAAAAGAAAATCAAAATTTGCATTTCTCTCCAAATGGCAGAAAGTAAAGAAGAACTAAAGAGCCTCTTGATGAAAGTGAAAGAGGAGAGTGAAAAAGTTGGCTTAAAGCTCAACATTCAGAAAACTAAGATCATGGCATCTGGTCCCATCACTTCATGGCAAATAGATGGGGAAACAGTGGAAACAGTGGCTGACTTTATTTTTGGGGGCTCTAAAATCACTGCAGATGGTGATTGCAGCCATGAAATTAAAAGACACTTACTCCTTGGAAGGAAAGTTATGACCAACCTAGATAGCATATTAAAAAGCAGAGACAATACTTTGTCAACAAAGGTCTATCTAGTCAAAGCTATGGTTTTTCCAGTAGTCATGTATGGATGTGGGAGTTGGACTATAAAGAAAGCTGAGCACCAAAGAATTGATGCTTTTGTACTGTGGTGTTGGAGAAGACTCTTGAGAGTCCCTTGGACTGCAAGGAGGTCCAACCAGTCCATCCTAAAGGAGATCAGTCCTGGGTGTTCATTGGAAGGACTGATGTTGAAGCTGAGACTCCAGTACTTTGGCCACCTGATGCGAAGAGCAGACTCATTTGAAAAGACCCTGATGCTGGGAAAGATTGAGGGCAGGAGGAGAAGGGGATTACAAAGGATGAGGTGGTTGGATGGCATCACCGACTCAGTAGACATGGGTTTGGGTGGACTCCGGGAGTTGGATGGACAGGGAGGCCTGGTGTGCTGCTGTTCATGGGATCGCAAAGAGTCGGACATGACTGAGTGACTGAACTGAACTGGATGGCTATTCTATTTTTTTCTGTGTATTATAAATCTGTACTCCCTTACCCCCTTGCCATTGGGATTATATGTATTTTTGAAAACGTAACTGGAATAACAGAGTGCATGCTTCCATAGTAGTTTTTCATTTCTGCCTCTGACTTCTGTGGCTGGGCTGTCAGGGACCTCAGAGCCTCCTGGAGGTCTCTGCATCATTCTGTACCCCTCACCTCCTGTCACTATGTACGTGGTGATGACATATGCCTGACTGGTTCATGCTGGAAAAAACCCCAGTCCAGGTGTAGGTTTTATTGGGTTCAGTTGTTAAAACATGTTAAATCTTTAAAAAAAAATAGCTTTATAAAAGGGCAGTACAACGGTCCTTGTGGTGGTGGATACGTGAACCTACACCAGCGATAAAATCATATAAAGCTTAATATTCACATGTGCAGGTGCACATGCTTGTGCACACACACACACACACACACACACACACACGAGTTCAAGTAAAATGGAGAAATCTGAGTAAGATTCCTAGATTGTAGCAATGTCAGTACTCTGGTTGTGATATAATTTTACAAAATGTTACTCTTGGGTAAAACTTTGGTAAAGGGTATATGGAATCTCTATGTTATTTCTTACATCTGCATATGATTATCTACACATAATTAACTACAGTGATCTCAATTCAAAAAACAGCTTTAAAATGTAAATATAGTTTTCAATTAATTCAATCCCAGAGCAAAAAGCTGCTCTGAGTCTTATTCTCTTACGTTAGGGTAACAGAGAGCCAAAATGAGTTTAAAATGTAGCCTGGTTGTCTTTCTTTCCAGGAAAGCGAAGGACCTAGTCCTTTGAGGAGAGCTAGGGTGGGCGTTAGCTGGCCCTGGAGTCAGCATAGCACAGGTTTCAGCATAGCGGCCTTTTGCCTGTTGATGCCCCGGCTTGCCATACTCCCCTAGAGGGAGCTGACTGGACAGCCTCTGGGTCTTGTCTGCACTGTTGCAGAGCATCACAGCCGTGCAGCATGAAAACCAACTCCTGTCTGCACCATAGGATTCTGCACTTAAGAGTTTCTTGTGACATCGAGCTGATGAACTGCTTAGAGCAATTTGAGCTGGACTCCATCTCCATCAAGTTAAATTCTGGTTTTAACCAACCCTGTACATTTCCCTTGCTTTTCCTCCAGCCAGCGGCCAGAGGGTTTCTGCCATAAAGCGCTGGGTGGAGAGGCCGGCAGAAGAACCCTCCCCCATCCTGGCTCAGAGCGCCCTGTTTTGGGAGGGTTTCAGATTTGGAACCAGATTTCAGGTCTCTTCCTTAAACTAGAAAATCATTCCAACAGATCCGATTTCTCTGAGCTCACCCACTAGGATGATCTCTGCTTGCATTTATAAAATATTTAGAGACCTATTGCTTTCCAGCTGCAATTAGCCATTAGTGATGCTACTGAGTTTGGTTAGAAATACACTTCAATTCCCAAAGGCCTTGCCTGGGCTGTGACTGCAAGTGGGTTGTTGCGAAAGCTGAACTAAGTCCTTTACTCTTTTTTTTGTCTTTTACTCTTAAAAGAATTATTTGTTAGAGTCTTAGTTATGAGGAATTACTAACAAGTTATTATTTGGCCCCTAAGTGGCTGGTGTCAAAAAATTTTATACTTTGACTCTAAATCCATTTGCTTTCTCTCCTTCCTCCTCAGAATAAAACCCATGCTACCTTCACGGTATTTGGACTAAAAATCATTTCCTTGCCATTGATTTAAAATAAAACAACCCTGAGATTTTTCTGGAAGCTAAAGCCTTCTTTCAGTGCACACCCTTTTTCCCCAAAGGAAAAACAAAGACATAGTCCTGAAATGGCCTGGAGGCAGCCTCTTAAGACCTCTTAAGCAAATGGCATATGTTATGAAATACCCTGTGTATGAGTGTGTGTGTGTGTGGATTAAAAAAAAAAAAATCTATCACCCTGGTTTTCATGGTTTGGAAACTAATTGCAGAGCCTTAGAATTTAGGCCATTTGGGGGAGAGGAGGCTGGGCCATTATGAAATTATCAGCTAAGACTGTTTAATAATTGATACCAAGAATTACTTTGGAAAGGACCCACTGTGTCCACGTGCGTGGGTCTGTACAGAATGTGGGGTCTAGATCTTAGGGCTCTTTCTGGCGGTTTATATATCACTCACTGTGCTGCTGACCCACTTTGGTTTGCTGACCAGATAGGAGGCCAGACCCCTTTCCACTCCAGCGCCTTGCCCTCAGCACCACCCCAGAGTGTGCACGTGCGGATGTGCATGCACACACACACACACACACACACACATATATGCAGTGTCAAGGCTTTGCAGTGATTAGTAGACCCCTGTCCCCTCACCCACACAGCTTGGGGCTTTTCTCTGGCATCAAACCCAGTGGGGTTGAACCTGGCCAAACCAACTACCCTTTGTACTCACGACAACATAAGTTAGAGCCACTTTTTTAGGTAGGTCATTTGTTTGGCAGACTTGTAGCATCAGTAGTTACATGGTCATTTTTATTTCTTGCAGTTTTATGTGCTGAACGAGTTGGCCAGATGACTAAAACATATAATGACATAGATGCTGTAACTCGGCTTCTTGAGGAGGTAAGTGATTCGGGGAAAGGCAAAAAGAGTCATTTATAACTGACTGATTATAATTTATATTGATTAAAGCAGACATTACTATTTTTCTTGGTGAAGAGTGTCAGAAATTGAGCCCTCTCAGAGTATGATTTCAGTGGCTTTCATTTTTTGAGCTGGTAGCTATGTTGGCTTTAGTCACTGTAATTTTGCACAAGATATTTTGGATTTTAAAAGGAATGTATTAATAATGGAATAGGGCAACATTTAAATACTTGCTATAGAATACCCAGTTGAAGCTTTATAAACTCTTAACAATGTATACTAATGATATATGTTAAATGTATATAAAAATGTCAGAAAAAAGACATCATTATTCATATCTTTGTAATGTTTTTGTTTTGTTGTGCTGTGTTTTTACTTAGTCAGGTTAAGGGACTGTTACTATGCAGTGTCGGCATGGAAATAACCAAAACAAGCCTGGCAGAAAAATTTAGGAAACTTACTTAGGATCAGATGAGCTGCAGGCATTTTACAGACTATGGTTTTCTCAGTTTCTTCTCAGCATCCTGTTGACATTTGAGAATTAAGGTGCTCTGATGGTCTCTAGAGGCAGAGGAGTATCCTATGTGTATCCCCACACCTAGAACAGGCCAGAACATGGTAGGTTCTCAGTATTTGCTGAATAAATGCCTATCTTTAAAACTTCTTCCACTCCTCCCACAAAATCAGGCCTCAAATGCAGAGATTTTAACTTTTAGATCCTGGTTTATGCTCTAGAATCTAGCATGATAGGAGTCATGTGACTATTCATTAGCCCTTCTTGAGGAGTAGAGTGGAAAGATATGAGGGACACAGAAACCCTCATTTTCAGCCAGTGGCAGGACAAAGCAGCAGTGTGGGACCTGAGGTTTTGTTCTTGGGTTGGGGATGGTCTTTTCACCCCATTTTTCATGTCTCTCTCTCTCCCTGTGCTCTTCCCTTCTATACACCCAGGTTTTTCCTACCTGTTCTGAGGATGGGATCCTTCTGATCCACCCCTATGCCCCATTCCTGAGGGCTCACCTCCCCGGCTACCCACTTCCCTCTCATTCTCCTGAAGGCCACCCCCTGGTAGATCCACTGGAGCTGACACAGAGCAGGAGTGGAGACCCACATGACCACCTGTATGTCAGGAAAATCCCAGATTTCTCAGTCCCAAATAAGTAAGATTAGATTTTCTGGCTGTGTGACAGGACCCTTGCTGAGGCATTTTAGGGGCACTGGCCCCCTGGTGGTTCTCCCAGTTGTATCTGTCTGGGCAGCTCGTAGGCTGGCTCGGCCAACATCACCAACTTTCGGAAATGGTTCTCACAGCCCCTTTCTGCTGCGTCCATTTTCCCCAACAGTGCCCTGTTTCTGAATCCACTGCTCACCCCACACCCAGTCAGTCTTCTGAAGGTGCTCCTGTGTCTGTACCTTAATTATTTTTTTCCCAAGGCTACTACCACGGCTCCGGGAGCCCTGGCATGATTTTGAGTTTTCTCCCTTTCTTCTCTGCAACTGCCACCCTCCCAAATGCTCTGTAATCACCTGGCCCAGCCCCAAACCCAACATTCAGAACTCCTTGGCGTGGCATTCAAGGCCATCCACTTAACCACATTCCTGAATCCTCTTCTTTACTCTTCCCCGGTACCTGCCTCCTTTTCTCCTACCTGTGACCTTTTGCACCGTCTGGCCCCTCTATCTCTTCCTGCCTCTGAATGTCATGCTGCAGGGCTCACTGGGGACCTCTGAAGCTGCCGCACACACCCAGCCACAGGTAGTCCGTGCCCCCACCTGCTCTGAGTTTGTAAGCCCTGCTATTGTTCTGTTTGCTTTTTCTTCCAGCTGCGTTGGCTAGAAGTTTCTCTAAGGCGGGAACCCTGTTGATTTCCTTCTCCATTTTACTCTTGGAAATGACAGGCCTTAGATAAATGCCTGCCTCTGTGGTCATGCTTATTCATAAGGGTAAACTTTGAGAATTAGCTGTTGTAGTGCATCATCTCATTAATTCTACGCTAGTTCTCAGAAGTAGATGCCATTGCTGCCCCATCCTACAGTGAAGGGACCTACTCTTGAGAGAACAGAAGATGGCCACATAGTATAGCTGTTTTCCAGCCAGGGCCCTTAACCACTGTGGCCCTGTTGCTTTTGGCTATAGTTGTTTATTGTCATGTTTATTTCGTTCTGGTGAGGATGGTTAGTTGATTGTCGATGAGACATTTTTACTTTAAAAACATGAACTGGGTGACTTTTTTTTTTTTTTTAAATGGGATGCTGCTTCAGTGAGTGTCCAGGGCCCATGGTTCCTGGCTCCTGATGAATGTGAGCTGGCAGGTCTGGGTGAGGTTTCACAGAGCCAGACCCATCTCTGCTTGGATGTTTGAGGATTGTGTTCAGAGGAGACTGGGACTCCAGCCCTGTATTTAGATTCTGGTCATCAGCAACTCACAGCTAATTTCCTAAATGAGTGTCACTGTATAAAAAGTATGTTGTCATGGTTTTAAAAAAATTTTTTGGGTTGTTGAAAAGAATATTTTTGGTGTAGTTTCTTCAGGTGGCTCTTTGCTCTACCCTCTTTGTTTTATTTTTAGCAGCTTCCCCTGGCCATGGTCTGGGTGCATCTGTGTGTTTTATATACAACGCTGTTCCTGTCCTTCTCCTGATAAGAATCATATCTGAGTTGCCGCCTTTCTTTGGAACTAGGCAGGGTTTCCTGGTTAAAGTCTGATTGGCCCAGTCACGTGACAGCTGTCCCATGCTGCACTCTTCCTGGCTTTGGTTCTGTTTCTTTTGGTTTTGCACGCCTGCCACGTGCAGATGGGGTACCAGCAGGATCTGCACAGGATGCCACGCACAGCCCTCAGCCAGCCCGAAGAGTTTGCTTCTCATTGAAGGGGAAGAGGATTCTGCGGCTTGCCCTGGCTTGCTGCTGCTCGGCATTCACCTTTGGGCAACGCTGCCTCCTCCCCAGTTATGGAGAGGGTTATTCTGGGGGCCCCTTAGTCATGCTTTTCATCCTTAAGTGGGTGAATGAGATGAGTCAACTGCTCAGTGTGGGAGGCAGGCTATTCTCCGTCTCCGGGGCCATGCCAGGCAGCTCGAGTGCTCATTGGTAAACGGGGCCGAGACGCAAGTCACAGTCTTTTAAATTTTCAGGAAAACTTTGATGTAGATAGGGAGTAGAGAGAGCCAGATTGAGCCCCACCTGGCTGCCATCTCCTGGGGAATCAAAGAACCAGTTATTTTAATATCTTATTTCCAAAGGTCACAGTGGGTTTACAGTTCCATTTTTCTCACTGTAGTTTGCTCCAGCGGTCATCTCCTACCTGTTTTCCTGGTTTTAGAAGTAAATATTTATCATGTGTTGGCTGGCTGTAAGAAATGAGACTCTTTCATTCCTAAAATTCTTAAAGAGAAGCCCAGCCAGTCTTTTGCCTGAGAAAAACCAGAGACCTTCTCACAACCTTTTTGTTTAAGGTTTTCATTTCATCTCTGAATATTTTTGTTGTAACTTCCTTTTTTTTCCCAGCAGAGCATTTTATTTATGTTACTGTGAAGATTAGATTTGGGGTTTAGACAAAGTGAGAGTCGTCCCTTTAGTAGGGCAAGGAAGCCTTGGGTCTGAGGTTTGGGGTGTATCAGCATAGGTTGGGAGGGCTGGGGGGCTTTGTGGTTGAGCCCACCCCCACTTATTTCCTTCCCCTGCCTGCTCCCCATTCCTCCTGGGTTCTGGCTTCTGTGTGCCGTGGGAAGCCTTCGGCGTCCTTCATGTGCTCAGCAGTGCCTTGCTGAGCTTGTCTTTATCCATTATGATTTTGGCTTGATTTGTTTGCACTGAAATCTGTGTATGAAATGTCTGTGTGCACAGGATCTTAGCAGCTTGGATGCGTGATGGCAACAACACAGAACAGTAGGCAGTGAGCCGAAGAGCATAAAACACCTGCTGGGTATTCAGTCTGAGGGCTTGTTCTAGTAGAGAGATTTAATAGACTGGAGTGAGAGTTATGGAGACCATGATTTTGGACAGTGGGGGCTACAGTTTTCACTGAGACGTAGCCAGCTGAAGGGCTTCCCACGTGGCTCAGCAGTTAAAGAATCCACCTGACAAGCAGGAGACACGGGTTCGATCCCTGGATCAGGAAGATTCCCTGGAGAAGGAAATGGGAACCCACTCCAGTATTCTTGCCTGGAAAATCTCATGGACAGAGGAGCCTGGCGTCCTGCAGTCCATGGGGTCGCAAAAGAGTCAGACGTGACTTGGCATCTAAACAACAGCAGCCAGTGCAAGCCACCTGTACTAGTTGGTAACTTTGGGGCAGCCTCTGGAGAAGTGGGTTCCCTCACACAATCTCTGTGGGTCGTTTCCTGCCGATACCAACTATGCACAACTGTTGCGTCTGACAAGTGATTAAGGGCCACTGAGATAAGGACTCTGCTTTAATGTGGAAGCCAGTGCAGATGAACGCACAGAGAGAGAGGCATCTCGGTTGATTGGGCAAACTCACTGGTCCCCTTTGTTCCCTGGGAGGGCAGGAGGGGGAGGCACAGATGGGGAAGGAGTTGGATGAATCTATGGCTCACTTGACATGACCCCCAGCTGTCTTCTGGGACAGTAGTGGCAGCAGTTACAGGTTTCAGGACCATGGAAGACTTAGGGGAGAGAGACCATCATTTGTGTAAGAGCTCCAGGGAGTTAAATCACTATTGGATCCAGTCCCCCCAAACTATGCTTTGCTCATAATTCATCAAAACTCCCATGATGAGCGAAGGAAGGTGTGTTACTATTCCACTGCATGAAATACTTTGGTGGGTATGAAAAAAGTTGGAAATAAAAGCTGCATTTTGAAAAGTCTTACAACTCAATGAACCACAAAGCTGGAAGATTGTTTGAAAGGGTCGTTCAGCTAGTCTGCCCCTCCACCTGACCTCTTCTCACAGACAAGGGAACCAGGCCCCAGGGATGTTCAACCAGAACCCAGACTCTCAAATTATAGGGTAGAACAGTTCACATGAAGCAGTTAAACTTTGGATGGGTAGCTACTCTAAGAAATGCCTCCTAGATTGTAGGTAAATACGTGACAAGTGACATTTAAACATGAGATAATAACCTTCCTTCATGGACTGCACCTTGGTATGTCAGTTCTGTGCTGTTGAATGTCGTTTGAAACAAAATGTCAGTTGCCATGACTAGAATGATTCTCAACCTACGGATGATTTATAAGCTGTGTTTGGAAAGAATGGATCTAGAGGATCCTTGTTAAGTGTAAACCATAAGGTCACTTGGTTATCAGAAGCTAGGACTCCTCCCCAGCTTTTTTCTGCTCAAAACTACATGTCTCTGGTCTTCCGCTTTTTTACACCAAATGAGCAGAATAATTAGCATAGACTTCTAAGAGGTTTTCACTTTCCAGAGTTCTCCTCCCCATGCCAACCTATAAGTGAGCAAGTGAATCTACACATAGTGGCCAGTGGTTTCATCAGCAAGGATCAATAAGTCTGCATTTGGTGATGGCATCCACCCCACTGTCTCCACTGTCAGGGGCCAGCTTTCCTCCCATAAACCCAGCTGGACCTTTATATGCCACTAAAGATTTTCCTCCATGCATTGCTGTGCCCTAAATGTCAGCTGCTGAGCTAACAGAAAATTATGTGTCTGCAACGGTCTTTGTTTCTGAAGTAGGGTGATTTTATGCATTATTTCTCCATTCTTAGAGCTGTTTCTTAAAAAAAAATAAAGTCTAAGTAACCATAAGTTTAAAAAAAACTGTATTTTATTTTAGAGTCACTTTAAATATTTTTGTTGCATACGCAGTGAATCTAAGGAACTCAGTAAATTCCATCTTAACTTAGGTATGCCAAAGAGGCTGCCTTGGCTATTTTAGCACACTTGGAATTTCTGGATTCACTCATTCATCCCATAAATAGTTCCCAAGTGTTTCCCTCTGCTGGGCACTCATATGACTGTAGCCCAGCCCATAGGTGGGAAGACAGATTATCAAGTGATTACACAAAGACCAAAAGCAGTTGCATAGAAAGGTTTTGGGAAGCATGTTTTTTTTTCCTGCAGTGGGAGACTTGTTTTCATAAGATTGGAAGGTTCCCTTTCAATGTTTGGGGTCCGTGTCACTGAGTGAGCTGCTCTTTGAACATGTATCAGAGGCCAGTGCGTGGATGGTGAATCAGTAGTCCATTGTTATTGCTAAACACCTTTGTTTTCTTTCATTGACATGGAGTCCTGTGGGCTCCCGCTGGATACATGGGTTTTCTCAACTTCTGTTCTCACTTCTGCCTCTCACAGAAAGAGCGGGATCTAGAGTTGGCTGCTCGGATTGGCCAGTCGTTGCTGAAGAAGAACAAGACTCTAACCGAGAGGAACGAGCTGCTGGAGGAGCAGGTGGAGCATATCAGGGAGGAGGTGAGGCGCTGGCGGCCTCTGCAGGAGCAGCCGTCTGCAGGGGCTTGGGTGCCGTGGGTACAGCCGAAGAAAGTGATGCTAGAACAGGCTCCTGTTGGGAAAAGCCCAGCCCAGACACAGAGGGCTGATTTTCTGCCATCTCTTCTGATCATTTGTCCTTTTTGACAATGAGGACGGGATGGCCCAAGCTGGACCTGCCCTCGTGTGGTCAGTAGACCCACAGTATGGACCAGTCACAGTCCCTGTCCTCCAAGAGTCCAGATCACCCTGTGGGCTGAGAAAGGCACTCAGAACTTTGGTGAAAGTGCACACAGGCTATTCCAGCAAGGAGTGGGGCTCCCTGAGCTGGGGTGGGTGTGGGTGGGTGGAGAAGGAACCTCAGCCAGAGGCCAGCCATGCTGCAGAGCGAGGCAGTGATGGCCCCTTCGTCAGTACAGTAGTATAATTTTGTGTTTGTAAAACAAAACCAAAAGTAGCCCATTGTTTTCATGGTAGAAACCCTACCATTTCAATGATACAAATCTTGGCTGGTGTCATCAACCCCCATCATTGTGAATGGAACTTGGGGCTGAGGTCACAGCGGAGCAGCCCTGGTTTCCCAGCAGGGATGTGGTGTGGATGGAGGAGGAAGGCTGCAGGCTCAGGTGGGGTTGCCGCAGCAAGAGTAAGAAACTTAGAATCAGGTCCCGCTTTGGTAGCGTCTTTGCCATCATCTTAACTCTCCTTTGAACAGGGCATTTGAACTGTGAGGACTCTGATTTTGCTTTCCGTCTTCTCATTTCTTCTCCCTTATTTTCTATCAGAAACTTTCTTAGTGGGAGGGGATGCCCTTGTGCATGTCCCTAAGGTGTACTGAGACCTATTCCTCATTAAAGCTATTCCCAGCTATTGTCTCGGTTTAATCATCATTTCATATGATGAAATAGAGTAGCCACCAGGTAATAAAAAGGTTTTTAAGGGTTTTACTGTCATTTTTATTGATTTTTCTTCTTCTTCCAGTTTATTGAGATACAGTTGACATACAGCATTGTATAAAGACAGGTTTTAATCCTGGGTTCTCTTTAAAAGATGATGAGGTATCATCCATCTCATTAGAACTGATTCAAATGAATTCTTTTTAATGGCTGAGTAATATTCCATGGTGTATATGTACCACAGAATATTACTCAGCCATTAAAAAGAATTCATTTGAATCAGTTCTAATGAGATGGTTAAAAAAAAAAAAAAAAAGAAACTGGAGCCCATTATGCAGAGCAAAGTAAGCCAGAAAGATAAAGACCATTACAGTATACTAACACATATATATGGAATTTAGAAAGATGGTAACGATAACCCTATATGCAAAACAGAAAAAGAGACTCCGATGTATAGAACAGACTTGTGGACTCTGGGAGAAGGCGAGGGTGGGATGTTTCAAGAGAACAGCATCGAAACACGTATATTATCTAGGGTGAAACAGATCACCAGCCCAGGCTGGGTGCATGAGACAAGTGCTCGGGCCTGGTGCACTGGGAAGACCCAGAGGGATCAGGTGGAGAGGGAGGTGGGAGGGGGGACTGGGATGGGGAATACATGTAAATCCATGGCTAATTCATTTCAATGTATGACAAAACCCACTGCAATGATGTAAAGTAATTAGCCTCCAACTAATAAAAATAAATGAAAAAAAAAAAAGATGATGAGGTAGGTTATTTGCAGGGTAGGAATAGAGATGCAGAAAGTTTAGAAAATGAACTTGTGAACACAGTGGGGGAGGGAGAGGGTGGCATGAACTGAGAGTAGCACTGAAACATATACACTACCGTGTGTAAACCAGATAGCTAGTGAGAAGCAGGGAGCTTAGTTCGCTGCTCTGTGATGACCTAAAGGGGTGGGGTGGGGAGTGAGGTGGACGGAAGGGCAGGAGGAAGGGGATATATGTATGCATGTAGCTGATTCATGTTGTTGAAAGGCAGAAACCAACACCACGTTGTAAAGCAATTATCCCCCAGTGAAAAGTTTCTTAAAAATAGAAAAAATGAAAAAAAGACGATGAGGTAGGATACTGATAAGGTATAAGAAATAAAGTTAACCCTTGCTTCCCCAGCCTCTAGCATCTTGATCTGAATCCCCCCTTCTTCCACACGTGAGAGAAGGTTAACCCGTCCCCGTCCTTGGCCCCTTCTGAGCAGAGAGACATGCCGTCAGAAACTAGGAAATGGTCGCCTATTGCCCTCACGTGCTGTTTCTCCACATTGCTGCCCTTGCTTGGGGCTTCCCCACCTTTCACAGAGTACATCCTGCCCTATGAGGGTGGAAGTGCCTTTCTTTCCTTTGGGGAACCCTGGACTTTGAAAACTGATTTCCTTTGGCACATCATTAAATGATGTCTAGGGGTTGAAACTGAAGCCTTGAAGCACATAAAACTGGCTTTACCACAGAAGATAAAATATATTTACTGTGTTATGTAGGAAAAGTTGGAATCAACTATAGAATCCAAATCAAATTCGAAACAAGAAAGAATGAAAACAATTACAATTCTCATGCTGGTTGCCTGTTCATCAGTGCTGAACAGTGAAAGGGCAGGTGAACAATTTTATGACCCAGGTTTGTTTACTTTAAACCTGAAGTATAAATAAGTGTGATTTGTCGAACCATGCCTGCAGTAGTTGGTATGGCCAGTTCCTGATGGTTGCCTCTTTTTTTCTTGTATCTGGAATTCCTGTTTTGTAAGCATTGAGTGCAAAGCAAGATCTGGCCATGCTTGGCCAGAATTCCCATGAGGGTGTAGCAGTCCCAACATGGGGCTGCGCAATTTTCCAGGTGGAAGAACAAGGGCTGACCAGCTTGCTGCCCATCTAGCTAGCTGCCCACCCAGAGCTGGCCTTGCCAGGTTTCTGATCTGAGGTGGGATTTGGTTTGGGCAGAAGTAAATGACTTCCTTCATTTGATAACATGGTCCACCTCTCTGGGTGTCTTCCCAGTTGTCATCTGTTTACTTGCAAAGCCCATATGCTGTCTCGTCCCCCCAGCCCCACCCCATCCATCATTCTAGCACCTTCTCGTCCCCTCTCACCTCTTCTCTATACCAAAGTAAAAACTACAAATTTAAGTGGAGGGTTTTTTTTGCCACAAAGTAATTGATCATATGTTTCTTAAATAGGATCAGACTCAACCCTTTGTTTTCCTTGAATAGCACAAAATCAATGATGTGCCTTCACTTTGAATGAGGAATTTTAAAATACTGTCACTGGGCAGGAAGTGTTTAAGCACGAGTGGGGATGCCGTCTCGTTTGGAGAGTGTGTGATGGGCCTTGACTGGGTCTGTGCAGGTGTCACAGCTCCGGCATGAACTGTCCATGAAGGATGAGTTGCTTCAGTTCTACACCAGCGCCGCGGAGGAGAGTGAGCCGGAATCTGTGTGCTCCACCCCGTAAGTCACCCAGGGCCTGTCTCCACAGGCCGGAGCACCGCTGGCTGTGCTCCGTGACCTTGGAGTTGCCCAGACAGGGTCACCTTCACTGGCAGCACAAGCCGGCTGCCCTCGGCCTCCTGCAGGCCAAGCATCTGAGTGCCTCAGGCAGATTGATTTTCTTTTTCTGATGGGATTTTAGTTTTCCTCTTCCTGGGTCTTTCTGACAGCTTAGTTGTCAGTGTAGATTGATTAGGCTTGGCTGTGAATGAGTAACAGGCTGGGCTCTGCTGTTGGAGGGAATACGGGGGCCAGCAGTGCCATGGGGGCTTTTTGGGGTCCTCTTCTCTGTCAGCAGAGTCTCCTGTAAGGAACATGAACTCTAGAGCCCAATGACCTGAGTTCAGATCTTGGCTCTGGGGCTCACTGCTGTGTGCTCATGGCCAAGTTACTTACCCTCTCTGCTTGTTTCCTCATTGGTAAAATGGGGATAATAATAGTAACTTAGTTCGTAGGGCTGTGAGCACTGAACGAGTTCATACATGTAGGGTACTTAAAATAGTTCCTAACAGATAGAAGGCATCCCAGAGTTGTGCAGGCTTGAAATAGAGTTGGTTCCCCAGAAGTTGAGGCAAAGTGGCAGCCAAGGGTTGGGATGTGGGACTGAAGTGAGGTGAGCCTGTGCTGTTTTCCTGGGGGCGAGGGAGAGGCCTGATGCATCACTGTCACACGCACACCCGCCTGAGCTTTCCTTGAAAGCCCCCCTCTGTGTGCTGTGTGGTTTGCCAGGTGGTGGGAGGAAGTGTCTCCCTCCCTAGGAAGTGGACTTTCTCCCCCAGGTTGAAGAGGAACGAGTCGTCCTCCTCCGTCCAGAATTACTTCCATCTGGATTCTCTGCAGAAGAAGCTGAAGGACCTTGAAGAGGAGAACGTTGTACTTCGATCCGAGGTGAAGTGCACTCCCTGCCCTGTCCCCTCTCTGCCAGGATGGTGGCCCCGCGTGCTTATCTGGCGAGTACGGCCGTGATTACAGCCCTGCCGTTCTCAAGGGTGATGGTCTGTGGAAGGGCTCCCTGGCCCTGGGTCACGGCCACACCAAGTGCCCAGAAGGCATGCCTCATTTATGAGCCAGGCAGCACAAACCATCCTGGTTGCAGCAGACAGACAGGTGAATTATGCAGTGTGAGGATGGGTAAGAGTGGCAAACCCTCCACCTTCGCAGTTAGGGCAAAAGCTCCTGGAAGGTGGGGCCTTGCTCTGATGGTCTCCAGCTCAGATGTAGAAACAGCTTTGAGACCTGGTGTGAGAGCCTTGTTCTCATGCTACTGCAGGTCAGATGTGCTCAAAGGAAATAGTACTTGGGAACTTGGAGACATATTTCTTAGACAGCTAACTTTAAAAGGTTGAGCCGAAGCAACTTGGGAACTCATGTTTTTGAGTATTTCTGATTGGCTAGTCACTGTGGTGGGTACTTTGCCTGCTTTCTTTAAAAAAAAAAAGTCTTCATAACAAGGCTGGAAAAACCTTGGGAAAACCAGGACCCAGGCTGCTAGGTATTTTGATTGCCCAAGATGTTGCAAATTAGTGAACAATAAAGCCAGGGTTTATAAGTCTCTGTTACTCCAAACCCACATAATTTCACTTTACCTACTGCCCCTATCCAGAAACACAAGATGCATGGGGATTTAGTGTTTTTTGTTTAATTATCTGAGCTTATGCTCTCCAGCCAGAGGTTTGGTTCAGCTCTGTTTATCAGGCCCTTGGTTTGTCAAGTTTGAGCTGCAAGCTCACCTAAGCTGGCCCAGGGCTCCCCAAAGTTCCTCAATATGGCAGACCACCTGTCACTTTGAACTTGCCTCACTTGTTGCAAAGAGCCTCATGTCTGGGCTTAACAAGATGCTCTTATGCCTGAGAAAAGGGTCATGCCTCTTAGCCCTCACCTCTTTCAGCCCCTCATTTACTGATAAGAGACATAAACCCAGAGTGATCAAGAGGGTTACCCAAGCTTTCTCTGCCAGCCAGCAGCCAAACCAAGACTCCAGTCCAATTTTCCCCATTCTGAGTTCTAGCATCCACCCTAAGTAAATGCCCTGGCCCCAGGCACATGGTGATCGGTCCCTTTGTTGGAGTCATCACGTAAAGCAAGCAGAGGGAATCTGATCCCAGCCATAGATTCTGACTCCTCCACCTAGCTTTCAGGATGGTGATGTCTCTGGGGCCAGGACCTGAGAGCTCAGAGATACCTCTCTACCTGTGGCATTTTCTTAGAGCCTTCAGATCTCTGTCTTCCCACCTTTACACCCAGGAACGAAGCCATATAGAGTCCAAGCATAGCTCCTAGGTCTCTGAACTTTAATACTTTTTCATATTGTATCTTGTTTTGGCTCAGCTGAAAACAGCAGGACAGATTCCCACTTGTGACCCTCAGAGGACCATACCTAGCACATAGAATGTGTGATAATTGTTAGCTCTTCTTATTGTGGGGCTTATCCTTAGAATGCCCACTGTAGGCAGTATGTGTCATAGGCTCTTTTGGGTCACAAAGGGATCCGCGACTGTGAGCCCGGACAGACACACATGAATAAACAGGTGGACTAATAGAGGGGCTCGCAGTTTTAGCAACTGTTTTGTGTGGTGCCCTCTAGCGGTTGGGATTGACTTTCTGTATCTGAGGGCGCAGTGGGTGACAGCTGGGGAGATGCTGAAAGGCAGCATTCCAGACCCAGGTTAGCCCTTGCTGCATCACCTGGCCTGTCCAGGTGTGACTGTGGGGCCTCTGACCTGAGCCCTGTCCACAGGCCTGCCAGCTAAAGACGGAGACCATCACCTATGAAGAAAAAGAGCAGCAGCTGGTCAACGACTGTGTGAAGGAGCTGAGTATGGCCCGCCCCCTGCCACTCCTGTCCCCCCCACCTTTTACTTTTCCCATCTGCCATCGTGAAGACCGGATGGATTTGCATCACTTGATAGAATGCAGTCTTCCTGCCAGCCTGGCTTCATTAGCAATTTTTTTCCTGAATACTAGAGGCCTCCCCTGATCTTGTGTGACACCCCTCACCCTCATTTACGACAAACTGGGTGGGAGGTTGTCAAGCCATACATTCTCAGTCTTTCGCCAAAATGGCTATTTAATTTTCATTTTGGCTTTCTGCAGGAATATTGGTTATTTAATGGCTAAATAAGGTCCAGCTTTAGAGTCCTGAACTGAAGGTGTGGAAAAATAACTTTCTAGTGACTTGAGGTGTAAACCTTGAGGCCAGAGTTCTCAGCTTTGCAAATATTATGTGCCTTCCCCCACCCTCTCCATGATAAGTTTACACATTAAGATCAGACAAAAGGGCAAACAGAATATTTTGAGTGTCAGCAGAATATCAGTGAAACACACCCTATGTTTAAATCTAGTAAAATGAGTTATGGCTCTGATATGGGCTGAAAACGCCCAGGAGAATTGTGTTGTGGACGCAATAGTTCCTTTCTAGAACAGAGTGCAACAGGAGTTCCTGTCACTAGAGATGTGTTTGTATGGGACATATGGAATTGGTCAGAGTCACCTTCTGTTTGGCGTGGTGTCTCTGGGCTGACCGCCAAAGCCTGCCTGATTTTCTCTGGGGAGGTGACTCTAGGCAGTGGGTGAGGCTCCCATACTGACCCTGGGAGCCACAGCTAGGGGTTGGTTCCTCCTCAGGACAGACCAAGCCCATAGAGGAAGATGGGGACTCTCCCTCCACGCTTGTCGTCATGTGCCCGCTCCACTTCTCCCCCTGTCTTGTAATAAGGACTTTTTTTTTCCTTGTACAAACCACAAAGAAACCATTGTCTCTGGCTCTTGTGATTGTTGTTTCTTGGTCAAAGGGGACGCCAACGTGCAGATTGCCAGCATCTCTGAGGAACTGGCCAAGAAGACAGAGGATGCTGCTCGCCAGCAGGAAGAGATCACACACCTCCTCTCCCAAATAGTTGATTTGCAGAAGAAGGCGAAAGCTGTAAGGCTTCTGTTTCTCTGACAGTTCTGAAATCAAGAAGGGGGCCGTTTACCCCAAAGACAGTGCCCTTTGGATCCATATTTTAGGAAATTGTGCTGTCCGTTGAGAACTTTTGCTGAAGCTTAACAGATTCAATAGCATAAAACTGGTTACCCTGAATTGGCAAAGGGATCATATTTATCACTATCTATTTTCCTAAGAAAAGTCTGCAAATGAGTAGAACTCATTAAGACATGTAAAGGTGCTATAAATAGAGAGTTTGGGAATTTAAGGTATAAATAATCTAGGTTAGCATTTCTCCTTACACAGGGCACCTGTATGTTCTACACAGAACAATGTCCCCTTTCGATTTAAGATGAAGCAGCAAAAAACCAATTGTTTCCCACATCAGGCCTTTGCTAGAAGCTCAAGGTGAAAGACTTTCAGAAAACAGCTGTGATTATGGAAGTTGTTGCTTAATCGCTAAGTCATCTCTGACTCTTTGCAATCCCATGGATTGTAGCCCGCCAAGGCGCCTCTATTCAGGGGATTTCCCAGGCAAGAATACTGGAGTGGGTTGCCATTTCCTTCTCCAGGGGATCTTCCCAACCCAGCGATTGAATCCGCATCTCCTGCATTGGCAGGCCGATTCTTTACAGAATTCTTCCCAGAGCCACCAGGGAAGCCCAACTATGGATGTGGAGGTGGGCAATAGGGAATGAATAGACATAGGAAAGACATTGCCTTCAAAGCTAAAAGACAAAATTTTACTCCAGTGTAAGATAAAAATCTCCTTGTGGATGTGTGATAGGATCATAATGAATTGGTCAATAAGTGGGAAAATGTTAGCCTTTGCTAAGTGTCTTAAAAGAGAAGCTGACTTCCCTTTGCCACATTCTAGTGTGCAGTGGAAAATGAAGAACTCGTCCAGCACCTGGGGGCTGCCAAGGATGCTCAGCGGCAGCTCACGGCCGAGGTGAGTGGCTCTCCCTCATTTCATAAGGCCCCCATCCCAGTTCAGGCGCATCAGCCTCCCTCTGACAGGCTGTGGGTCCCATCCTTCTTAGTGACCATTTTGATAATGAATTAAATGTCATTCTTACTCCTAAGGCAGCTCCCAGCTCCACTGACGCTGGTCACAAGCACCTGGGAGGCTGGGCTGTTCGCCAGCCTGGAGCCTGGCGTGCACGCACTCCTGACAAACATTCCAGTAAGGGAGAGGACACCGAACATGGTGTACAAAAGGAACCCCATTCAGAGATGGCAAGGAAACGAGGGAGTGATGATTTGCCCTCTCATTTGTTTTGTCTCAGTTGTTAGTCTTTTAGGAGATTTCTGAGTCTGCAAGCTTGCCCCAAGTTGTAGAAAAACTGTGCCTTGAGGACTGTTTGGCCTCAGGCCACAGGACAGCTGGTCCTGCTAGGGGGCCAGGACATCTGTTAGTGATCCTGGGTCTTCCGGGCTCGTGGGAGGTACCTGGTCTCACCATTCCAGCCCCTTCTGCTCTTTCCTGGTCTCCTGCAGCTGCGCGAGCTGGAGGACAAGTATGCGGAGTGCATGGAGATGCTCCACGAGGCGCAGGAGGAGCTCAAGAACCTCCGGAACAAGACCATGCCCAACACCACGTCCCGGCGCTACCACTCGCTGGGCCTGTTTCCCATGGTGAGTGTCCACCTGCCGCCTGGCCACCCACCTCCCACCCTCAGGCTAGCAGGCGCTCCTGGGAGGAGACTCTGGAGAGACTCTGGAGCTGAGTCTCTACGGTTGGCTGGCTTCTCCCTTTTACAGCTTGGATCTGGATCCAAGTTGAGGGCTTGTGAGCCCAGCTAGTAGCTTCTTAACCACACGAGACAAGATAGTTCTTTATTTTCCATCCTTCTGAATCTGTCTTTTTTACCCCTGCCCTTAGAAGATAAATTTAGTAGGAACTGGATTTAGTAGGCACCTCAGATATTTGGAAGATGCTATTTCTATGTTATTTTTTCGTAGAGTATGTGCTATTTGGGCCTCACAAATGCATTCCAGAATTCTTAGGTTGCCTTATGGTTCTACTCATTCTTTGTATGCTTATTAACAATTCTCCCACTAGTTCTGGTATCTGTAATATGAAAAAATATTTCCCTTTGTGCTGTGTGAAGTATTTTTAATATTTTTTATATTATTTCCCCACAATCTTATTTTTTTTTTAGCTCTGGCCTGATCTATTTCGTGTTTATGCTTTAGGGGAATGTGGTTGAGAAGAGGGTTTTCTAGGAGGCTGACCTCTCCCAGGGTGGACGGCGGATGCGGGGCGGGGGCGGCGGTTGGGTGGCACAGGGTGGAGCCCCTCTGCTGGTCATTTCCCAGTAATATTTGGTTGGGGAACTTTCTCATTTTATCTTCTTCTGTCAAACTAGGGCCCCTTGAAGGTGGGGACCCATGTCTTATTTGCTATCTCCTCCTTCCCTATCTTTATTTTTTTTTTCATTTTAACAGTTTTTAATGAAAGCTGTAGACAAGATGACTTTATTCCTGCATCTTCTCAATTGTTTCTTCCTTATATTTGCCCCTTTCCTTTTCTACTCGGCGAGATTTGGCTTTCCGTTCGAGGATCTTTTTGCAGTCTTTGTCCAGTGTTAGTCTGGTGATGACCACCTTGCTGGGGCGAATGCCCACATGGACAGTTGTGCCATTGGCCTTCTCCCGCTGCACTCGTTCAGTGTCGATGCCGTGTTTCTTCCTGTCAACCTGGACTGCTTTGCCAATTTGCTGCCCTTTGTGGTACCCTCGTACAACCTGAACTTCATCATCCTTTCAGATGGGCATGGATCGAACGTTGTACTTCTGTCTTAGCTCTTTTTTTTTTTTGGTCTTAGCTCTTTAGAAAGAGGAGAAGACATAATTTTCCTGCGAATGTGGGAAGGTGCATTGAAATGCCTTTTTTGATTCTTACTTCGTTCAGAAGTCACAAAGGGATTGAGCTTCATTTTGGCCGCTGGCGCTTCAGCAATGGCCACAGAAGGGAAGAGATCTCCTTCCCTCTCTTTAATACTCTGCACCTGGTGCAGTGCTTGGCATGTTGTAGAGTCACAGGTCCTCACTAGACATTAGATCTGGGTGGCTGAATCAACAGACTGAAAAACCAGCCACCAAGAAGGTTTCAGGCTCTGTTTCAGTGGTTTGATGAAATATCAGTTCTCTCTGAGAAGAGAATAACTTTTGAGGAAAAGCCCCCTAAATAAGATAGGCATGGAGGGCTGTATAAATATTTGTGAAACTTGGTCCCTTTTGAATTGGCCTTTACTCGGGGCTCTTATTCCTCCCTAACCCCCACCCCATTGCTGACATTGTTACCCCGACCCCTTGCTGTCTGGCCCACTTTTCCTAAATCATAGTCTCCTTTTCTCCTTTGACTTCACATATAAAGTCAGGCTGGAACTCTCTCTCAGCCTGACTGAAATCTAAGGAAAACCAAAAAGAAGGACACAGCATCAACAGTCAACTTTCCCAGGAGCACATTGGTGATTCAGTGATCCCAATGAAGGCAGACAAGGACATTCTGTCCCCCAAATCCACTGATCTTGAGCTCACTGTGCTCGGCTCACAGACAACCCATGTAACTTTGTATATCCCCTGCTTCGCTTTCCCTTCTTCCTGGCTTCTCGTCTCCTAGGGCCATATTGTTTCCTGCATTCCTGGGATTCACCCTCCTGCGTTCCCCACTCTCAAGGACAGATGTATTTTAAAACTAAACCATACCATAAGAAAAGCTGAATTGAAGGTTTACATGAATTTCTTTTTGAGAGATTGAGTCTCAGCTTTTATTATTTGCTGAGGTGGAGCTTTTGTTTGCCTTTTTCTGCTGTTGGCAGAGCTCAGTTTTTGAAGAGGGCTATTTATAAAGTGCATTATGCATGAAAGGTATTTAAGGCAATCTAAAGCTTACATCATGCCCATGCTTCTGGAGCAGAACACTCGGATCTGCTTCCCTTGCTCCCAGCCCCCTCTAGCTGCTGAATAAAACAGCGAGTAGCAGTTTTTCTCAAGTATGTTCCCAATTCTCTCACCTCATGGCAATAGTTCTTAATCTGGGATCTACAGACAGGATTCAGGGGGCCCGTGAACTTCAGAGGAAGATTTTATCTTTTATGTTCATTAATCCCTAATTGCACTTGGTGTTTCCTTCCCTTGTGAAGATAGGTAACAAACCACAGCAGCTGTGGTAATAACCACAGCAGCACGGTCATCTCTGGGACTTTGTCATCCATCGAAATCACATGTCTTGTCATAATAGCACTTGTCAGTTGCCACAGATGTCCCAAAATACCACCTGTGCTCATCTCCCGCTCAGAGTGACAGTTGTTGCCAGTTACTCTATCACACTTGCTGTTATTAACATTTTAGTAATTAACTCCATGTATTTGGCTTTCTCTTTAATCCTAATTATGTCATTCATTTATAAACATCATTCTGATGTTTCATCGCCTCATCCATAGCGTCCAGGACTCCCTTTCTTGCCTCCACTCTCAGACCTTACTTCCCACTAGCTTGTCTTTTTTTTTTTTTCCTCCTTCATCTCCTGAATCTTTACTCTGAAGTCGCTTCTTGAAGGGCTGCCCACTGGACGGAGCTCCCCATGTGCTCACCTGCTCTTGTCTCCCTTCCCCTGGAGCACCTGGCTGCTATCTCTTCTCTGGCCGCCCTGCAGGGGCCACACACTCATATTCTCCTCTAGAGACGGAGCAACTTGAATTGCTCACTTGCTGTGTGTCTCCCGGCTTTTCCCAGGACTCCTTGGCGGCAGAGATCGAGGGAACCATGCGCAAGGAACTGCAGCTGGAAGAGTCGGAGTCGCCAGACATTGCGTAAGGCCTTGGTCCTCAGCTCCCAGGGGCTGTGGGGTGGGCGCCAAAGTGCAGGACTCCCTGTGGGCCTTCCACAGACGATCCAGATTAAGGGAAATTAGAGAATGAAGCCGACAACAACATCCTCCTTCCAACTGGCTCCTCTAGTTGGGTTTTAAATACATATTATGAACTTGTGGAAAATTGGGGAAGGGCAGATGTATTTCCCATCTCTTGTCACACAAGCTCTGGTTTGACACCCCCACTCACTTTTATCTTTCTTTTTGATGGAAAACATTACTTTAAAATATTTTTAACATCTGTTAAGGAAAGAAAAATAGGATGCAGTATGAGATACAGAGAAGGGCTTCCCAGGTGGCTCAGTGGTAAAGAATTCACCTGCCAGTGCAGGAGACACAGGAAACTCGGATTCGATCCCTGGGTCAGGAAGGTTGCTTGGAGAAAGGAATGACAACCCACTCCAGTGTTCTTGCCTGGAAAATCCCATGGACAGAGGAGCCTGGTGGGTTACAGTCCATGGGGTCACAAAGAGTCGGACACGACTGAACATGCATGCATGTATGTGTGAGGTACAGAGAGCTCTTTGGGAAGGTGTGAGCAAGGCTTCCATTTCCTTTCTGAATACATTTAGGGGTGTCCGCCTTTATCATCTCTCTTGCTAACTTGAGACCTTGCACTTGACCTGCTTAGAGCTGTAAGAAACCTGGAGTTTGATTTAATCAAATTTTCTCTGTATCCAAATGGCATAGACAGAACTTGGAACCCTGGGAGCGACCAGTGTCCCTAAACCTCAGTGCATGTGTGAAGCCATTTGCAACCCAGAAAGAGGCAGCCATTACAGAAACACACCTACCATTTTCTCCTTAAAAGGGAACAAAAGAACAGTGCGGTTCTGCCCTTAGAGATGGCAGTTTCCAGAGGGGGGAAAGAAAGAGACTCATCTAGTGTTTATCATCTCATTATAAACATTTAAGACTAACTTGAAGTCACACTTTAAAAAAAAATATGAATGGTTGACAAAGACTCATTCTATAAAAATATTTTGAGCCCTGCTATGTGCTGAGCAGTAAACACTGCCCTCCTGAAGTTTGCATTCTAGAGACTTAACAAGAAGACTAGGTGGGAGACAAAAGTTAGTATTAAATATCTTTGTAGGTCAAGCTTAAGGGAAGTAGGAAGCAGTATCACTCTTGCTAGCATCACCTTTAGGACACAGCCATGTAGTGGAGCCTTGAATTCTGTGGGCGCTGAATCTCTTGAATTCCAACCAACACTCTGGGAAACATATGGGAGGTACAGGGTGGCGGGTTGATTGGGTATCACAGTGGACCTGCTGCCTGTTGGCTCCTCAGTATAGTGCTGGGAGGGTTGAACTCCAGGGTCACTCCTGCGTCTGCTTAGTCTTGGGTGATGTTGTGCTTTCTCCCCAGTCACCAGAAACGCGTCTTTGAGACGGTGAGGAACATCAACCAGGTCGTCAAGCAGAGGTCTCTGACCCCGTCCCCCATGAACATCCCTGGCTCCAACCAGTCTTCCGCCATGAACTCCCTCCTGTCCAGCTGCGTCAGCACCCCCCGGTCCAGCTTCTACGGCAGCGACGTTGGCAACGTGGTCTTAGACAACAAGACCAACAGCATCATCCTGGAAGCAGAGTCAGCCGAGCTGGGGTGAGCCAGCCGGGGACTTTTCTCTTTCTGTTTGGGGGATAGGTAGGGGGTGAGTGAACACAGGTCCAGTCATCAGAAGAGGGAGGCCTTAAAAGTGTAGACCTTTCAGTTCTCATATTCGTTGTGCCAACCGGCTGAGCTAATGCTTATCTTGATGCTGGTATGTTAACCAGTTTAAAGGGTTGTAACAGGACACACCAGAAGTCAGCTTTTCTGTAAAATGTTGGAGGGGAGGATAAATGAATATTTTTTTCTGTTAATCTCTGTTAGGCATTTTATTTCATGAACCCCTTTGTTGCTTGGATTCTGAAAGACTGAGGAGGACTCAGGCTCTGTCTCATGACCAGAATCTGGTTTGCTTTAGAAAGTAGGGTTCAGCATGCCTGGCAAGCGCCCACCACACTCTGCATGCCTAGGGTGGGTCCTCCTTGGTGGTGGTCTCTCCCTCTCCTCCTGAAGCCCTGCAGGAGCCGCACCCCCACCCTCATTGTCCATCCTTTTCCTATGACTTAACAAAATTGGTTTTTCTGACCCATGAGTCAGATAGTTGGAAAATGCTTGATCAGAACTCTGAGGTTTTTTGGACTTAATTATTATTATTTTTCTTACTGAAGTATAGTTGCAGAACAGTCTTGTGTAAGTTATAGGTGTATGATATAGTGATTCACAATTGTAAAGATTATAATCCATTAATAGTTATTGTAAAATATTGGCTATATTCCCTGTGTTGTATAATAAATCCTTGTAGCTTACTTATTTTATACAAAGTACTTTGTACCTCTTAATCTCCTGCCCCTATATCGCCTCCTCCCCACTGATAACCACTAGCTTGGATCAGAACTTAGAGCTCTCAGCTCCCTAAATTCAAGAGGAAAAAGGCACATCCCTGGAGCCAACTGTCCTGTTGGAGACCAGGAATTGCAGCCTGAAGGTTTCTTCCTGAGGTGTCACGAGGGAGATTGTTTGTAGGGGCTGGGTTTATTATGTAGTGTTTGCAAGTTTTCCTTGCACCTTAGTGCCCCCTCCTCACCTCCCGGAGGAAGAAAAACCCAGCCGAGGGAACTGTTCTTCTGAACAGGCATTCGTTTCCCCATTTTTGCCTACATTCAGCCGCTTGCCTTGGTTCCTTGGAAGTTCCAGCTGCCACCCGGAAACTAGTAGTAAGGACAGTGCTGCCCAGCGCCCCCTGCTGGCTGCTCCGCGCTCACCCGCCGTTTCCCCCCCTTCTAGAAACGAGGAGCGGAGTAAGAAGCCTGGCACGCCGGGCACCCCGGGCTCCCACGACCTGGAGACGGCGCTGCGGCGGCTGTCCCTCCGCCGGGAGAACTACCTCTCGGAGAGGAGGTTCTTCGAGGAGGAGCAGGAGCGGAAGCTCAGGGAGCTGGCGGAGAAGGGCGAGCTGCTCAGCGGCTCCCTGACGCCCACCGAGAGCATCATGTCCCTGGGCACGCACTCGCGCTTCTCCGAGCTCACCGGCTTCTCCGGCATGTCTTTCAGCAGCCGCTCCTACCTGCCCGAGAAGCTTCAGATCGTCAAGCCGCTGGAAGGTGATCACAAGGGGCCTCGGCCCCTCTCTGCCCTCCTCGGCGACTCCCTGTGGTCCCTGATCCACCACCGGAAAGCGGGCAACCTCTGTAACGCCTACTCCTTTTTCTTCCGCGACAGCCACCCCCGCTGCTGGTTTGAGTTCCTCTGAGTGCCCGGCCTCCACCTCTCCCGGTGTAGGTTTGGACATGCACACACAGGCAGCCCAGACTAACCGCCATCAGCTAAGCCAAAGAAAAGAAAACGTGTTTGGCGCTGGTTTCCTAATTCTCTTGCATTCAGAATCTTTGAAAATCAAATGTTTAGGGAAGGCAGAGGCGCTCCTGACATCCTCAGGAGTTAATTAGGTCATGTCAGGGCACTCTGAGGAGTGTAGAGAATTGATGCTTTGACTTTTCAGAAAATGTGGTGTCAGGGAGGGGGTGCAAAGCTAGTGCTGTTTTAAATTGTTTATTCAGTAACCATGAGAAAGCAGTTTCCTGTTTGTTGACTCACATGTTTTGCTTTGATCTTCAAATAAAAAGGGTGTGGCTTTCTTCAGATGCAGTGTGTTCTGAACAAGGCTTCTAGACCTCCACAGTTTGGGGGCCGGGAAGGGGGTGGCTGTGGAGGAAACTGAGCTCTGTACCTCCTTAAGCCAACCCTTTCCAGGGGCCATTCAGGTTTTAGTATCAGGAACACCCTAGATGATTAAACTCATGGAAACACTTTTCTTTCTTTCTTTCTGCTTTCAGCATTATAAAGTATGTTCCCTTTACTTATCACTGCCCTGCTGAGAACCATCAGGTGTTTCTAACATTCATTTTTTTCCCCTCCTTTAGTTTGAAAACCCATGAGAGTTTGAGAAGATATTTTAACTCTATATTATTTATCTAATGCAAAGCCAAATCAGAATTTCTGTAAAGGCAGTATTTCTCAACTTCTTTAAGAACGCATTTTAGACATTAATTCCTAATCTATCCCCTCAGAAAATTTAATGTTTTAGATATACTGTTTATGTATTATATGTGTATCTGTGCCTAAAAAGAGTACAGGTATTCACCCCCAAAGAACCGGTTTTCAGCCCTGGAGTGGGGGCTGGAGTATCACCTCTGTTAGGATGCATGCTGTAAGATGAGATTGTACTTGTTAAAGATCCAAGAAATGCTGGATCTCATGTTCTGAAAAGGAAGGAAGAGGGTGGGCAAACATTCTTTTTCATGATTACTTCTAAATTGTATAATGTAGGTCCTTCTTAGATTTCAGAAGAGGGATAGCTCATCCTTTTTTTAATTTATTCAGTTGTAAGCTTGGTGATTGTTTTCTGATTCACTATTATGTCTGTTTTTCTTTCAATAAAATTTTTCATTTCTGCAATTTTACTTTTTGCCTTTCTTTTCTTTTTTCTCCTTTGTCTCTCAAAGGTCATTGGAATTTATCATCTTTATCTTGTCTGCTTTCTACATTTTACTTTATGTTTCATTGATCATCTAAGGATATGTATTTGACTCGTTTTCCAAGCATATTTTAGAAGAGATTTTTTTAAGAAATTATTTTGACCAAGTCATCTTTTTCTTTTTTAATCTTGTGATATAGATAGCAGTATTTCTGTGATAAATTAATAGAATAAGAGGAAATCCCATTAGATTTGCAAAATAAATTTCTTCTATAGAACTCTGTTCACCAGGAACCTGAATCACTACCATAAAAAGTCATATCTTATCAATATGGGCTGTAAGGTATTCTCATGATAGACTCTATCCCTCTGGCTCCATTTTATAGTCCTCTGACTTCTTAACTGTTTAAAATACAATCAACTTTTTTTCTTCCTCTGCAACTACCTTTTTATGTTAATGTGTTTAATTTGATATGGTGGAGTACTAGCATAGAAGTATGCCTGATGCTGGGTGCATTATAGCTCTAACTGTGGTGCTGGCTAAGTTACTTCACCGTTTTGAGCTCTGTTTCCCTTATTGTAAAATAGGGCTCACATCTGCCACACAAGATTGTGGCAAGGAATAAACATGATGTGTTTTGTATTATGCTTAGCATCTATTAGGTACTTATTAACTTGTAGGCTCCTTGAACTTGTCCCTGTTCTGGTAACTCAGGTAAAAAGGCTAGCCTCACCAGTGTTGAGACCTTGACCAGCATTGCGCTGGTGCCATGTTCTTACATCCTTTTTCACTGGACCACCAAGAAGCTGATAGGATTCCCGTGTTCTCCAGTGACCCAGGTAAATGTACCTGGGTTGAGGCCCCTGGAGAATGTTGGCTGGGATCACAGCAGATAGCCAGTCTGTGTCTTCCATCTGTCTTCCTTACCTATTTAATTAATCTTGCTATCTGCTCATTGGTGTCAGCCAAAATAGATGGGCTAGGTGTTTTGTCTCTTCACCTTACCTTACACGTTTTAAGTAGGTGAAGAACAAACAAAACATTCAAACTAGAAAGAGATATATCTGCATTAAAAAGATGAGTTGGACAGTATTTTTTCCCTCTGTTTTGCTCTTCCTTTCTAATTATAACCAGATAGTATTTCCAGATAAACAAGTTAATATGTAATTAGGGAAAAGCACACACTTCCAAGCTGTCCATTATCCAGCAAGTTTAGTTCTAACTCTTAAGCCTCAGGTGCCCTGCTGACATAAATGGATTGAGTCGTCTTCTCCTTTGGTGACATGAAAACCTTTTATTTAAAACAGTGGGGTGTGGAAAGAAAGCAAACAGAAGGAAAAGGGTAGTTATTATGTTTTTGCCCGATCCACACCTTGATCCATAGACCTTCATCTTGGTGCCGACTGGGAACACATTTCCTCTCTTTGCCTGCCAGACCCCAGCGTCATTCATGTGGGCGGGAGAAGGTGATGGTAACGGGAGGTGGGGTAAAACGCCAAGTATTATGCATCTTTCAGCATAATCTTTCCATTGTAGTCTCACTAGATTCCCTTGCTCTGCATTTTCAGGGAATGCAAATAACTCTGTGTACTTTGTAGGCTATTGAACTCCAAATAGCAACTCTCTGTAGCCTCATTTGTGTCTTGGACTCATGCATGGGGTGGGGAAAATGGGGCATCCTGTTGAACAGATGGAAGATGGAGGCCCACGGGACTCTTTTCTGGGCCTAGACCTCTAGCCCCACTGAGTTCTTTCCTGGTGCATTGTAAATGTCTAGAACCCCCTTCAGAAGGATGGGGAGATCTGGCACTTCCTTGACACAGTTCTTCACTCTCCAGTGTGTTTGCTTTGCCTTTAGTCCCCTTCCAAAGGTAGAGGTGATGTGGCCACATTGCACCTAGGGATTTCTCATCTTCCTTCTGAGCCCTGGTTGTGCTGCTCCAAGCTGGGTATCAAAATTCCTTGTTTAAAATTTTCTCCCCAGTACAATTTTGTTACCAGGAATGTGGATGTGTGAATAGTGAACACAAACAGTGGGCCCATTTTGGATTACTCTGCATGGAGGTCCCCAGAAGTGGCAGGAGAAATCCCAGTGGCCGGAAATCCCATTGCATCTCCTGGCAGGCCCTGGACACCCATGAGGAAGTTTCACTGCCCACTGCGTATTCCTCCAGATTCTCATTGAGCCCAGATTCCTGGCTGGAATGCTGATGGCCTTGCTTGTTTTCAGACCTCTGGTTTGGGGAGGGAAGTGGGGTGAGTTTATGGAAAGAACTAGGCCTTTAGCACTGAACACTGACTATGCTACAACTAACTCAGTGACTTTGGAAGTTAGGTAACTTCAGTGAACTTCTGTCTGTGAAAGTGTGGGTCATAATACTTAACCATGACGGGTAGTTTTGAGGAATGAGTCGAGGTGATACATATAAAACAAGCTGCCCTGCTGAGATGTCTCTGTACAGGGTAGCTTTTTAAAAAATAGTGCCGTGGAACCTAGGACTTAGGATCCCATGGACAGGTTTGTTTCATTATATGCATCTTTGGTCTTTTTTCTTTTCTTTTTGCATTTAGAATATTTTCTATTTTTATTCAATAGATTCCAGTTAAGTAGGTTGCTATTGTACTTGTGACACTTAATGCCGGGATAAACTGCAAAGTGTGTATGACTTTTTTCTGTTTTAAGTGGATTTGAAATTGCCCATTTACAAAACCCTTTCAAGACTCCTTGGCTGAGACTGTCGGATGAGAAGTTATTTTGCAGCAGTGTTTTGGAGGCAGTACACTCAGCTGGGCACAGCAGAAGGTTGGGGAGCTCAGTTACATTCCTGGACCACTTCCTGGCCCCACTGCCTGCCTGCCTTTCCCTTCTCTTTTATCTTGACTCATGAGCTGCTGGCTCCTGGCCTCCCTAGTTCCCCTTTCTGACCTTCCCCAGGGCAGCCTGGAGGGATCGCTGCCCTCCTCCACAGAGGATGCCCTCAGGAAGCCAGCAGTGACAGTCTGAGAGGTTATTTGTGCAGGAAGTCTCTTGCATTTTCATGCTTGAGAACCACTTTCAAAGTCTCTCTGTTGAGTTTGGCGTGTTTTCAGTGTGGCCAACTTCTTCATCTGTGGAGTGGGGATAAAATGCCCAGCCTCATGGGCTGGGCACCCCCAATTCCAGAGCCGTGTAAGAGGTAATAATGTCCTAAGGGGGAAAGAGCTGCTGGTGGCAGATGGGTTGGGCAGAATCCTGGCACAGAGCAACATGCTAAAGGATCTGAGATGTTGTTCTTCAGTACATATACTGCTTAGCCCAGGCTTCCTAACAAGGCTTAGTCTTGGACTTCCTCTCTCTGTGAGTACCTGGTATACCCTCAAGGACCTCAGGGACACACTCTGGTGTTGTTACAGACCTTACACTGTGTCATCTGAGTCCCAGGGTCTGGTGTCATTGAGGAGATTGGCTCCTCTGCTTCAGACCTCTGGGTGGACTTGCATGTTCTTAAATCACATCTCTTTAAGCCAATTCCCACTCCCCAAACCTATAGCCTGTCGAGGTTGCCAGCAGCATCAGAAAACTTAGGTAAAGGGGGTGACGGCCGTGCCCACCACTTATCCATGTGCTATGTTCATTTCTTTTGGCTTTTCTCTTGATGTGGGTGCCTAGGATGGGTTTGACATCATCTTATTCTGCTGTCTTCCCTGTTCCCAGCATTGTGCACTTGGCATAGAATCCACCCATATCCACCCCCGCCCCTCACCCCTCTTTCTGAGCTTTTTTGCTTATTTTTTCCTCTTCTGTTTCTAAAGTGGTTCTGTGTTGGATTTGGGGGTTGACATCAGTTGCTTAAAATAAAGAGTTTGTCACCCAACATCCTTGACACATAGTATGACATTAATTTTACTTTGTTAAAAAAATGGATTTTTGCCCTGAGATTGGTGCTCCTGGGCATGGAAGGGGGTTAGCGCCTGACACGCAGCAGGAGGGGGGCAAGGCAACTCCGTGGGTGTCCCTCCCAGAGTCCACCTCCGACGCCCAGGGCCCCCTGGGCTCGCACTCCGCGCTGGAGGGTGGTGAAGAGCCATCAGCTTAGACTCCCGTCCTAACCCTCTCTTCTCCCTGTCACCCCCTTCCCCCCACCCTTTCTCCTCGCAAGGTTCTGCCACCCTTCACCACTGGCAGCAGTTGGCCCAGCCTCACCTCGGGGGCATTCTGGACCCCCGGCCTGGTGTGGTCACCAAGGGCTTCAGGACGCTGGATGTTGACCTGGACGAAGTGTACTGCCTTAACGACTTTGAAGAAGACGACACAGGTGACCACATTTCCCTCCCGGGCCTAGCTACCTCCACGCCAGTTCAGCACCCAGAGACCTCAGGTGAGAGGTCCCGAGCACGTGTGACTGTCTCAGGCAGCAGAAGTTACCCAAGCCGGCCTCAGGCTTTCCCCGAGGAGATGCAGGAGCCGCCAGCGGCCGAGGAGGAGGAGGAGGAGGGGTCTGGTGAGGGCACCGCCATCAGTCCTGTGAACCTGGCGCCTCTACCGGAGGCAGAGTTCCAGGCCATTCTCACTTCCGTTCCGAGCACCATCCGTAGTGGCTCTCTGTCTGTAGCTTCTGCTCGTCTGTGTGGGTGATGATGAAAGCATTACCATTGTGGGGTTCCATTTTTTAATAGAGTCTGATGCCTCCTTTTGTAACAAATGGGTGCGGCTCCTTGCCCATCTTGGAGGTGCATGGCCCAGCAGGCTCTTGAAGGGGAGCAGGAAAGGCTGCTAAAAAGAAGTGGATTATTGCCCCATCATTCCCCCCCAATCCCGAACATCAGCTCCCCATTTCTGTTCTGGGTTGCCTCCTATGTCTAAGGGGCAGCTTCTCGAGTCCTCTGATGACCTCCAAACTGAGCTGAGCTGGGCAATTTTAGGGGCAATTTTGAGTGCTGGAATGTTCAGAAGGTTAATGAAAGACTCTGTTACCTGCATAATACATTAAAATTGGAAGCCCAGAAAGTGTTCAGGATTTCAGACAGCACTTCAGAGATCAGCCTGTTCATTTCCTAACTGTAGTGAAGATATGTGTGTTTTCATTCCAGCTTATACATGTGTTCAAAGTGGATTTTTTAAAAGTGCTTTAGCAATTCTCCTTAATCCAGCAAACCCTAAGAGGATGTCAGTAAGCTTTTCTAGAGAGAGAACTCTAGATGAATCTGGAAAAGAGCCTGCCTGATCTCTGTGTTCTTCCCGCCCACTTCTCTCCCCCCCCACCGCCATATTAAAGTTATGACCATGAGTTTGCAGAATTACACATCCTAGAGGTCACTGGGATGCAAGGCTTTGTGCTTGGGGCCCCAGGATCATAGGATCACATAGGTTACTATTTACCCAGATTTCCTGGACCTCCTCATTGCTTGGGCTGAGGGGGAGAGACCCAGATAAAGAAGAATTAACCCAGTGTCATCTTCCTAATGACATTTCCAAGTCACCAGGTTTGAGAAGAGCACATTCATCTTTGACTGACAATTTTCATTCATGGAAGGTGCAATACTCTGCATATAGTACAGAGCAGTTGAGAGCTGAGGTTCATGGTGGTGTCTCCCATCCCCTGGGTAAGTTCACACACTTGTGGCCAAGGGACTCTTTTTTAAATTTTTTTTCCTTTGACATAAACTTTAGGTATCACCAAGTAAAAAATATCGTTTAACACCTAGGTTTATTTTTATTTTTTAGCCATTAAGTTACCAGATTCAGCTTGCAAGGGAATGAAAATGCTTATTATTTAGAATCTTCTCACAAAGAGGAAACCAGCCTAGGTACTGTTACCTCCTTTTGTCATCAGCATCAGTGCCCTTCTGGAAGGCAGACAGTGGTGCAAGAGACACTGTGTCTGCTGATTTTGTGACTGAAGCAGCAGGCATTGTGTTAAGTGTGGTGACCCCTCCCTGCAGCCTAACAGGTGAAATAGAAGTGGATGCTGTAAGTTTAAAGAAGCATGATTAGGTTCATCTTTGAAAAATTGTAGAGAAGGGATAAAGCTTATCAAATCAGCTAAGAATATCCCTCTGAGGACAGCAGGGGCAAGGGGACCAGGTATGAGGAGCTAAGTCCTGGCCACTTTCCTAACCACACACAGAGGCATATCTTGCTTCTTACCTCCTTCCTCAAACCTGGAATAAATCCATCCTAACAACTCTTGAGAAGAGCACACAAACCTCCAGTGGAAACTGTAGAGGGGTCACATTGGAAGTGTGTGGCGCAAAAAGAATTAGATAGATTGCTAAAGGGAATTTAGAGAGGGTCTGATCATCTAGACGAGGGTTCTTCTGAGATTGTTTTCTGAATAAGATGTGTCAAAAGTTCTGTGCAGAGGGAAAGGCATGGCCAATGATTTGGCTTTTTTCCTCTGTGGGGAATGACGGGACCATTCTGATCTTGGAACGTAAGAAGCACGTCACTTGACGTGACTCATCCCAGGGGCCCCGAGTGACATTAAGCACATAGTCGTGGAGTCATGGGCGGATAGATAAGCCTCCACGGGGAGGCCTGGGGCGTCCTCTGTCTTGGGATTTGTACTCAGGCTGGCCTGCTCTCTGCCTTGGTCTCCCCTTTCCTGTTGCCAAACAGCACAATTCCAGGAGCTTCCATCTGCCTGGGAAGACTTAGTAGGGAGAACCTTTGAAGACAGAAGGTGATTAACCTTTCTTTTTTAACAACTGGTATTATGGGAGGAAATTGGGAACACTTATATATTAGGCAGTTTTGCCTAGAGCCTGCTCTCTCATGGAGAAAACATTTTGAGTACTGAAAAATATTTATTAATATATTTTAATGTATTATTGTATTATTATTTGATTTTTATAATTCCATGTCTTTAAAAAGGATGAATCCTTGTTATATTTGTAAATAATTTAGATGATTAAAATGGATTATGAAAAACAATTTTTAGATGATTAGTTTTACTTTATTTCAGTAATGTATTTTGTTTTAATTCATAGAGAAAGTGTACTTTGTTTTTTTTTTGAGAAAGTGTACTTTTATCAGAAATAATCTTGCGCTGTCAGTGTTTCGAATTTTCGGTATTTATGTGTAGTGAAGAGCCTGCATGTGGTAAAGGTTTAAGATTAGAGTTTAAAATCACACAGTTAGGTCAGGAGATGGTTGGTGGTTTGGAGGGACAGTCCAGTTGAATTACCTGGATGCCTTGATTCTTAAAGGGAAGACAGAGGCAGGATTAAAGCAACATAGAAGAAAGTAAAGGTCAGCTTATTTAGTACTCATACACATGGAGACCATTTCCAGTAGGAGAAATGTCCTAAAACAGACTCCTACACATCCTGGCAGCCTGCCTGGCAGTGGTTCTGCCGTAGAGCTGTGTTATCTTTGGGGCTGAGGTCCTAAAGTAAGTGTTGAAAGCAAAAATCTCATTTGGTCAAAAATACCCTTGGAAATCCCTGAAGGTGGAGCTCTTCAGCCCCTCAGAAGCAAAAGCCAAGAACTAGCTTCCTTTGTAGCTTTCTTATTTGTGACATAGGTACAGGCTCTGCTCAGGCAAGTTACTTGAAGGGAAGGGAACAGCCAAAAAAAGCAGACGATAAAGGAACTGAGTATCACTCCAGCCTCCTCTGGGGCAGGGGCTGGTATGAACAAAGCCTCCAGTGGGCATTCTCTCACAGTCCCACTGGGGAAGCAGGACCCAAAGGGGCTTGTGAGGGAACGTCGGCCGTGGAGACCTGAAGAATCTGGAAGGAAAAGTCTGGTACATTCAATTCACAGACCATTGTGTCTGGGAATGTTCCTTCTTGTCTCCACCTAGAGAGCTGAGGAGTTCCCACTGCGGCCAGACGTTTCGACCTCGCTCTGGTGTGTAGCAGTTACAGGAATTTGGTCATGGTGGACAGAGCCAGGATCTGCTCACACCCCTGTATTAGGAGATGTTAAGGAAGTTCTGGGCTCTTGCATCAAAGTGTATACTACACCACAGCAAAACAGGTCGGCGCAGCCTGAAGTGGAAAAATGAATGAAGAATTGCTTTTTTGACTTGTCTCAAACAGCATGGAGTCAACCCTACTTAAAATTTCCAGAACAAGCCTGCTCTCTAGAAGCGCTTTCTCTAGGAACCTCATCTCTGAAAACTATAGGGGGGTGCTCCAGTGCTGGGAGGGGCACCCACATGGACTGTTGAGTGGGTATTTGCACTCAGCCTTTTCTAAAGTGAAGGGCCCTTGAGGGAGCACGTGGGTGGGAACTGAGTTTCAGGTTTTTTGTCCAGTTGTACCACCTGGTGATGCCCTGGAGAAGTGCACCCTTGAACTGGCTCCAGGAGCACCAACTGGATGATGAACTTGGGGCAACTTAGCCAGGCCAGCTCCCCACACATGTCGGTGGTTGCAGACAAAAAGGACAGACAAGAAGGCAAGAGGGCACAGGATCCAGCTCTGTTGGCATGTTAGGACTCCAAAGAGATTTTTACATTTGCACTTTTGACTTTTTAACAGCATTCCAAAAAGTCACTTTATCTCCTGAAGATACTCCAGAAGCCACTTGAAAGAATTTCCGGTTCTGTCTGCCATGCCATGAGATTATTCCTCTGTTCAGTTACTCTTTAGATGAAACAGAGAGTAGACAACGTGGTGCCGTGGGTCAACTAAACTTTTCATTTTTTTAAGTTTTGCAGGAACCAAAAGTTGTACAGAATCCAGAATAAGATCTTGTGATGTGGTTTTCAGTCTCTGTGCTAGAAACCTTCCTGGAACCAATGGGCTGAATGTCTGCATTGGGGACTCATGGGTCTTTCAAACTGTAGATGGGGGCTGTGTAGAAGAAATGCTTAAGAAGCAGAGAAAAAGAGTTACAGGCCGATGTTAAGTCTGGTACTAAGGGTTTTCAAATGTCATCTTGTAACACTGTGTAGTTTAAAATAACTTTTATCTTATTTTTAAAAAAGAAAAGATAAAAACTGGTTCTGCTCTATCTGAAACTGCCCTTGTTTCCCTACTCCTCAGAGAAAAACACCTGTTAAAATTGCATTAGTCCCAAACAGCATTTATGTTAATGATGAAGCACAGGGCAAACAAAGGTTTATGGAGTTTTTCCCACATGGACTCATCACAGAACTTTTTTTTCCCCAGAAAAATTCATGCAGAGACAATCTTGAATAATCAAGGATTAATTAAGTGTAAAAGTTCCCTTTGATAGATTAGGATTTTGTACCAGTTTCAGAACCTGGAGGAGGAAGAACAAATAAAAATAATAAAGGATTAGGGGCTTGGGGGAGGACAGGGGGAGAAATGCAAGTTCATTCCTAAATAAAATACTTGATGAAAGTATTTGTCAGTGTTTGTACTTCTAGCTCACAACACTGCGGTCCTCCAATCAGACTGAGAAAAAGAAGGAGGATTTAAGTAGGAAGTCAGAGCATTAAATCCAGGAAACCCCGTCCTTGGAGGCCTCATGTGAACAGCACAAGGTGAACTCACAGCACCGAAGGCAGGGCTTTGGGGTACAATAGGGCCTGGGCCCTCTCCCTGAGCCCCTGCTCCCTGCCCTAAAGACTCTTAGCACCTCCTGCTTTGGGAATTTGCTCTCTCCTGTACACAGAACTGTAGGAATCAGCCCCTAACGGCTCTGTGGCAACTCACTCTGTCTGTGTTGTATCCCAAGGAAGGGAGATGCTGCAGCGGCCTGGCGGGCAGTGGTGACTCAGAGAGCTGGCGGGTCCAGGCGTCCCAGTGGTATTGCAGAGGGGCTGAACATCTGGCTTTGGCACTTTTGATCCTTGTTGATTTACCTCGGTCTTCTCAAGCTGTCCATCGCTTCTGGGGAATGATGACCTCTGAATTTTAGCAGCCTTTTCCTATTCCCAAAACCCATTTGCATAAGATGGGTTTTGCTTCTGCTGATGCAACGGTGTCTAAAATGTCCATCTCACACTAGCTGTTGTGATTGAAGATACAATACGTAATGGGGTGGAGGAGGAGGTGAACGTGTGTGACCTTTTGATTTGATATTCTGGCCATGTGTTTAAATGAAGTATGCTTCTAAGTTTAAATCCATCCTTGCTTTTGTTTGTTTTTTTTTTAAAAAAATGTTCTCTCTCTTATAACTGTTCTGTCCTAATTCTACTTACTGCATTTTTCTTTCCTTCCTCCCAAATAACCCATCATGCCTGTTATTTGGGATGCTTTTCTCAGGTTTTCTGTTGCTTTTGTTTCTAGACTTTATTGCAATCAGAGAATCGTGATTGGTTGGTTGCCTTTTCTTCATAGCTTCTTCTCTTTTTATTTTGCTCACAGTCATTTCTCAGCTATCTGAGTTCCTAAACCACTACTTTTTTGATTGAGAAACAAAGATGCATAAAGGCTATTTTTACATGTTTTTCCCACACCGCTCCTGCTTTGCCTGGAGCTCCTTGAGGCTGAGAGTTTGCTCTTGTGGCTGTGATGCTGGCTGCCATACCAGGGGCTACCGGAGCCTTCCTTGACACACAGAGATGACTTGGACCACAGTCATCAGGGCAAACCAGTCTTGCATAGCTCCTGAGTCACTGCCACCGGTTTTGTGCTTTGGCTTTGTCCTGCCTGCCTTCAATTTGCGTGTCTCCAATATTTTTTTTTATTTCATCTAGTTTCTTGTTTTTCCTTTTTCTTTTTTTAAAGACACAGTCACCTGTGTGTGGATCTGTAGGTTTGGGGCACCGATCTCTTCTGGTTTGTTTTCCTTTTTGTCAAATCCAAGAGAAAACTTGCCATAAACAGCTAGAAGATTCTAGTTCCAGACTTTTGAATCTTCAGCGTGCTCATGGCCTCCAATATCCTAATCATTTTTCTCCCAGGAGGTCTCTGGGGGCTGAGAGGCTGCAGGGGTGGAGTTGGTGGGGAGGAGGGAATGATCCTAGACCTCACCACGCATGCTATTGGGAGCAACATCTTTTTTTTTCCTTTTATTTTAATTTTTTCCTTTTACATTTGAGTTGTGAATGAGGATGACCTCTACAATCATGATGTCTCCTGTAGACTCTATTCCTACTTCTCACCTGCGGTTTTCTGATGCATGGTCCTAAAGCTTCTGTGATTTACTTTGCTCCAGATCCTAGTCTTCAGCTGCCTTAACAACTCTTTGGAGCTTTCAAAGGAAATAAGTTGAGGACAACTTACTCATTTTCATCAGAAACCAGACATCCTAGAAATGGCAAGAAAGCAGCTCAGGGGGACTGGTGCTGCTTACAGTACTGTGTGCCAGCCCAGCCCTGGCAGAGGGCCTGGGCCCTGGGACTCTTGCCAGCCACGTTGTTGCTGAGGCAGCTGAGGCTCCATCTCCCTCCCTGCCAACCACAGATAGGCAGTAGTGGAGCCAGCTTCCTCAAGCCCCTTTTTGTGTAAACTGAAAAGGGAGCCCATGGGCCTTGCGCTGTTTCTAGGTGTAAGTGCCTCTCCCTGCCCTGCACCTCTCCCCTCCCCTTGGCAGAGCTTGGCACCTATCTGCCAGTGAAAAGAAAAGTAAAGCAACAAAAGAAGGAAGCCGGTTCAGATCTCTGAGGAGGGAACGCAAATTTACCCCCAAGGGCCCTTTGGCCCTTCAAACTGGATCCACTACTGGCCAAAGAACGCTGATGGGAAACCCTGTCTGGATTGGGTTGGAAGCTGGAATTCGATGCTCTGCATTCCAGTGCTCAAAAGTGTGGTTGTTTTTGAGGGACCACCTTCGACCCAGAACATTCGCGTTTCACCTTCCTCGCCCAGATCCAGTTTACAAGGTAGCTCATCGCTTCTTGCATCTGTCGAGGGCCATGCGGGACTCTGACTTTTCTCGTGGGTGTACTTGGATGCAAGGACTATATCTTGTTCCTCCCCTCCCCCCAATTTAGCCCACCACCCTGGGAAGTGCATGTCACAGACCAACTCCACCTTCACCTTCACCACCTGTCGCATCCTGCATCCTTCAGACGAGCTCACGCGGGTCACACCAAGGTAAGGGACCCAGCCGCGGGGTGGGCAGGGTGGGGTGAGGTGGGAGCGCTCCCTGCGAGACTTAATGTCAAGGAAAGCTGAAGTAGAAAGAGGGTTGTTCAAAACCAACTCCAGCCAGTGGAAGCATCTCTCACCTGTTCAAGTCCCATCTTTTTTTTCGAATCAAGACCCCTATTGATTCAGATCCAGCACAGAATAGAGAAATCTGGACCCACTTTAAGTTGCCTTCTTATTGGCCATGAAAGATTCTTAGGCCCAACCTCAACCAGCTGAAGTTCAGGGCACTACCGCAGGCTCTAAGGCCAAGTCTGTTGGCTTTTTACCTCAAAATTTGCCAGTAGAACATGTTCTTTCACAGAATGGAGTTACTGAACCCTGTGGTAGCCCTTATGCCTCTGGAAATAGCCCCAGGAACCATGCGTGCATCACAGCCACACTGTAACAACTGAAATGATAAAGCTTGAACAGAACCGCATGCTTGGTGTGGTCCATTTCCCTCGGGTGCCTCCAAGAAGTGATAGAAGTTGGCACCATCTGACGAGAGGACTTGTATGGCCTTGGTGGGGTCGGGGGAAGGGTCTGTTTGACTAGATTTCAGACCTCCCAGAGCTTCTGGTGAAAGGGAAAACGGTCTCCCCCAACTTGGTGGTGTGACCCCCCTCAACCATTTTCTCTGTGATGCGAGGTGCCAGGGTGAGTTGAAAGTATCTCACAGGAGGGAGGTGAGCTGGGCCAGCTCGGAGGGGGCAGCCACCCCAAGGAGCACCTTCAACTATGAATGATTCTCCGCAGGTCATGTGAGGAGGACGACGAAGCAACCCCAGGCCCTGTTGAGCTGAGAACAGATGTAGGGCAGAGAGTGAGCCCACGGGCAAGGCAGGGGGTGAGCACACCGCCAGCAGGGCCCGCCTGGCAGGGCCCTGTGAAGGAGCTGTGTGTGCACGTGTGGCCGCCACTAACCCGCAACGTGGGCGTGGATGTGTCTCTGTGGTTGTGCCTGGCTAATTCGGCCTTGACAGCAGATACCCCTAACCTGTCTAAACACCCCAGTCAAGCCAAGTGCCAACACTAATACAGGTCTAACCAAGGTTCTTACTGGAAGGGGATTTCTAAGTTTTAGCTTGTCTCCATCTCCCTTCCTGCCTCTGGAGAACCTGGCTTCCCCATCCCCCAGCTCTATGTTTGAAGAGATTGTGTTGAAAACCAGTGGACAGAGCTTCCCCTGGGGAGAGGCTGGTGCCTTGGCACTTCTCTGATGGTAGCTGAAAGACTCAACACTGCACCCCTGCCTTCTTCTCTAAGTCCTTATGGCCTCATCAGGGATAAAAAACCTGAGAAGTAAGTAGCAGGAGAAAGCTTTTTGCCTGAGTTTGAAAGAATGCAGCCTGAAACAAAAATGGAAAAGCTCTCTAGAAGTGGTTCTGTGACCAAGTACAGATTTTTTTCACCCTGGATTGCTTATAGATCAGTTTTTTTTTTTTTTCTATATAGATCAGTTTTGTAGAAATCCACCCATGCCTTTTGAAGACTACCCTTTTAAGCTTCAGGATCTGCTGTGGTTTCTAATCCTGTGTTCCTCTGAGTGCTCCCCACCCACCAGCATCCCCACTCCCGAGTTTGTGTGAGTGCAGGAATTTGAGGAAATTGGTAGAGACAGAGCGCCTGTCTGCTGCAGGGCTTCCTCTCTTATCTTTGGGGTCACTCAGACTTGGGTTCAAATCCAGGATCTTCCACTGAGTAGCTGAGTGTGACGTTGAGTAAGTCACCTAATCTGAGCCTAATTTCCTCACTTGTGAGGGCAACAATTGTACTCACCCTCTAGGTCTGAGAGAAGGGAATCACGTGCAGCTTCCTGTTAATGTAAACCAGCCCCCCAATTTTCAGAGACTCCATGGCCTCTACAGATGAGAGGGAGGATCAGACATGAAAAGAGGCATCCAGAGAGCCTGGGTTGGAGGAGTCCCCTCAGTATGTCCCAGGCCTGCCCTGCACCCCTGCAGGAGGCTGGCCCGGACCCTTTCCTTGGTTCTCCTGGGCATTTTCTGATCAATGACCTGTTGTGTTTTCTTATCAGCCTTAACTCGGCCCCGACTCCGGCTTGTGGCAGTGCCAGCCACTTGAAATCCACACCAGTGGCCACACCATGCACTCCCCGGAGGCTGAGCCTGGCCGAGTCCTTCACTAACGTCCGTGAGTCCACGACCACCATGAGCACGTCCCTGGGGCTGGTGTGGCTGCTGAAGGAGCGGGGCATTTCTGCGGCTGTGTATGACCCCCAGAGCTGGGACAGGGCCGGTCGGGGCACACTTCTGCACTCCTATACTCCCAGGATGGCCGTGATCCCCTCCACACCACCCAACTCACCTATGCAGACGCCCACATCTTCTCCACCTTCCTTCGAGTTCAAGTGCACAAGCCCTCCCTACGACAACTTCCTGGCTTCCAAGCCAGCCAGCTCCATCCTGAGGGAGGTGAGGGAGAAGAAGGCGGTCCGGAGCAGTGAAAGCCAGACCGATGTGTCTGTCTCCAACCTCAACCTCGTGGACAAAGTCAGGAGGTTTGGCGTGGCCAAAGTGGTGAACTCAGGGCGAGCCCACGTCCCCGCCTTGACTGAGGACCAGGGACCTCTTCTCTGTGGGCCCCCAGGCCCTGCACAGGCCCTCGTCCCCAGAGGCCTGGTACCCGAAGGCCTGCCCCTCGGATGCCCCACCGTCACGAGTGCCATCGGTGGGCTCCAGCTCAACAGTGGCATCCGACGAAACCGCAGCTTCCCCACCATGGTTGGATCCAGCATGCAGATGAAAGCCCCTGTGACACTCACCTCAGGCATCTTGATGGGTGCTAAGCTCCCCAAACAAACTAGCTTACGGTGAGGATGGGAAGAGGCCCTTCCCCCTAGAGGAGACCAGGCTGGCTCCCGCCACCCTCTCCTCCCCCTGCCCTGCGCACGCTCCCTCTGCCCTCCTCTGTCCATCCCCTCCTGAGCTAGACAAATCAACCTCGTGCCTAATGGGGGCAGAGTGGAGACTCTGTAAAATGTGTACATAGGACTTGGAGACCTGTATCCACCCTGCCCTTCCTTCAGATCCTGCAGGAAGCGCCCCCGCACCGACATCACTCTCTTGAGGACCTAGCCTATGCTGGCGGGCGGGGGCAGGAGCAGCCGGGTGTCTTTCCTTCTTTCCTTTGAGAAGCACTGAAACCCCCAAGTGTGTTCTTATCCCATGGATAGGAAACCAGTGAATTTGTGGCTGCCTGCCAGAGCCACACATCCTGAGCTATCAGGTGGCACAGTGGTTCTGCCACCCCAGCGTCACTGGGCATCTCGCCTCTTCTGCCCCGTAGGAGCGTAAGGGGCCTCCGTCCACAGCCACGTGCAGTTGCCGTAGCTTTCATGATGGAAGAGTTGTTCTTTCTTTCTGGGGTCCCAGCTTTTTTAAGACCTTGACTGCTTGGCCCCAACGGACGGTTGCTTCTTTTTTTGATCTGTGACTTTTTCTTCTCATGCCTTCGATGCGAAGTCATCCTTCCATGTTTTGTAATCCACTGTCAGGCCAGATATCTGACCTGAAAGAGAATGTATTTACACTCCTGCTGCACCATTTGGCAGCCCCTGTGTGTTCGTGTGATTTACTTTTTCCATGTTTTTTTTTTTAAAATATATGCAGGGAAGTAATGGTACTAGATGGGAAGTCGCAGTAAAATGTTCTCTCTATGGTTCTGTGACACCAAAATACAAGTTTCAGACACACCAAGCAGCTAGTGAGATAGCAGCTTATTTCTGGGACCCAGTGTCACACCAATTGATTAAGACCAGACCCAACGTGACTTTAACAATAGGACCTTAAGGAAAAAGGAAAGGTGGTGAATGAAACATGTCAACAGTGGAAGAGTAGAAACATGGCCAAAGGTAACACCAAACTGGTTCACAGAGAAACAAGGCTTTGGTGGTCTGCTGGTTCTGGTCTTTACTCTAGACCCGAGACCCTTGAGCGTATTCTCACATCTGTGGTCTTCTGTTGCAACCATTCGATACCCTCACGTTTTGCCCTCTTGTTTCAGAAGAGAGTGGTCCCAGAAAAGCCCTTCATGTCCTTGTGCCACTTTTTATCTTTAAGAAAAGGTAGAGGTGTTATGAGAACCATGAACAAACAGGGAGCCTGGTCCCATCGCTGTCATCCACTAAGTTTCAAACTTTTATTTATTATTTGTGTGTGCTGTATTTTAAACAAACATTCTCTGTCCTATCCAACTTGGTCACAGTGTGTCTGTGGCTTTCCAGTCCAAGCAGATCATTTATTTATTCTGATCTGGGGACTGCACATCACGGTGCTCTGTGGCCATTTGTTCTAGATGTTTATGGAAGGATAACATCATATGCAAGTAAAATCATCATTTTGCACCCCCCATTTCCCTTTTCTTCCACCCCCTTGGCAAAAGATGTATCCTTCAATTGAGTGAGTGTGAACTTTTGTCCACAGAAGACACTTTGAGAAAGTTCCCAGGAGCAAGCTTCAGTCCCATGATTTCAGACTATTTATTCTCTGAACACGAGGGTGTTGGTTAATTATGTTTTCAACCCTCTTCTCTGTGGTATGTGTGCACTCACTGCACGGAACTTATATCTTTTTATTTGAATATATTTTAAAGCAGTAGGTAGAATAAAAAAGGAATATGAAAACCATGGATGAAATGGACCATTTTATGTATTCAGAGAGAGGAGCCACCCATCACCACAAAGGAAATACCCATGTAAAATTCAGCAATTCAGAGGTTGCAATATTTAGTATAGTTAATAAATGATCAACATTGTGCAACCACTACCAAAAAGTGTGTTGTAATGCATCCAAAATCAACAATAAAATTTTATTTGCTGATGAGTACCAATAAAATAAGTTCAAATGATGGAAACCACACTGCTACTGATTTGTATTTTGTTCTTTTCATTGAGGAGTTGATCTCTGAAAGACATGAGGGATTCAGCTCTTGGGGGAACTAAATGAAAGACATATACTTCTGTTGTATCCCACCTTTCTTTTAAGGTAATACTCTCCCTTAGATAAACTTCCAGTCAGAGCTGGAAGCATGCTCTCACTTTTCAGGGCTGTATACTACTCTTCCATGTGCACATGCCCACTGTGAATACATACACACCCCTGTGAACCTTTAAGTTAATTCTAAACTTTCACGGTAACAACACTGAGATGAGAAAAATATCACATATATGCAATTTTCCACATACATGAACTTACCTATAGGATAAATTCCCAAATAGATGTTGTCATATTACCTTCCACTGGACTTGGTTGAGATTTAAAAATCAATGACGGTGGAGGATCACTAGACGGAGAAGAAAATGGCAAAACTTACTGCCACTTTAATGTGTGGAAGCAATGACGTAACACAAGCAAACTAGTGTTGGTGGTTTCAGTGGCATGGGTTTCAATGAAGTGCTACCATTTAGTAGTGGTGTGACCTTGGGTAAGTCACTTCTCTTTGGGTCCTCCATTTTTTTTACCTGTAAATGGGAAATCCCTTAGGTTACTGACCTGAGGAAATATATTTTGTACATCTATGATGGACCAGGCACTGTTGAAGGTAGTGGGGACATGGTGATAAGTGTTCGATTTCTCTCATGGAGTATACATACAATCTTTTAACAGGGAAGAGATAACCAAACATGGCATAATAAGGGCTGTACAGAGAATGGAAATAGGCTGATCGGAAGGACTAGGTGGCTGCTTTGGGCAGTTGGGTAAGGCCTGTCCGAGGTGGCATTTGAATCGACCATGTGAGCTCTGGCACAGGAGCATCAGTGCAAAGAGAGCAGCTGCTACAAAGGCTCAAAGGTAGGAACACACTTGTTGTGTTTGAGGATCAGAGAGCAAGTCTGTGTGTCTGTGTGCCAGTAAATAAGGGGCGAGTGGTTATGGCAGAGAAACCAGTGTTCATCAAATTGTCCATGTGATGCCAATGTTTCCCAGCCACTTTGCAGTGGTCAGGGCACAGGATTATTTCTGGCCAGTGGGCTGTGAGCAGAGAAAAGTCCATTCATGATTTTTCCTCTCTTGCTGTAAATTCAAGCATTTGAAATGGTAGTGTCACAAGTTAGTGGAGCCATCATCATCCTGGGTCTCCAAGGAACCATGAGACCTGCCGTCCCACATTTGACGTATGCTCTGAAGGAGAAACCAACTTTCGTTGTTAAGCCAGTGAAATTTTAGGGTGCTTCATCAGAATCCCTGGAGCTAGGGCCCAGGTATGTTTTGCTAAGTCCTCCAGGTGACCCTGGGGCTCACTAAGCTCTGAGAACCACTGTGCCAGATCAGGCAGAGTTTGATTGGGTGTCCTGACATGGGAGGGGCCTCTGTCTCAGAGGCTCAGGGAGGCCAGGCAGCTGTAGCTATAGCCACCACGCTTGAAGGGGAGAGAGAGCGAATGAGTTAATCTACCGACTGGTGCAGGAAGCCTCTGAGACAAGGTGACCCTGCATCTGGGTTTCCAGGATGAGTAGGATTTGCCAAGTGGAGAAGGCATTTCAAACAGAGGGTAAAGGTATGGAGGAGGGATGGGAAAAGGAACCTAGAACGCATACTTCTAAGTAGAAAGGTGAATAGAAGGACGATAGAGTTAGAGAAAGCACTATTTTGCAAAACCAACTCATTTAGACAACAGTGGATGTTAAAACCATTGGGTAAGACAGGATAAATAAAGTGGACATGTGCCTCCCACAAGCTAGAATGAAAGCTGGTCACAGAACCTAGATGCTTTCTGAGGAGAAGTTGGTGTAGGTAGAAAGTTATGAATTATCTTAACTGGGAGGTTATAAGAGGGATTAAGTAAAAAAAAAAATTTTTTTTTAAATTAAATTTTTGCACATTTGGGCTCCTGGCTGGAAAACACTATGTCCTGGGGGGATTTATTTTCTTTGGCCTGTAGAGGGCACTTGGAGACAGCAGAAGACCTGAAGGAACCTGCCTGATGGTCCAATCCTAAAATCAGATGGGTATGCGTTTCCCTGAAAAGTATCAATAATTCAAGGCAGGCAACTGTCCTAGTAGAAATATTGAGGAAAGTCATGAGGCCAGGTGAACTGAAGGGAGGCATTCATAAACCAGGGGATGGCATACACACAGGTTTAGGGTATTAGTGAAAAAATTGAGCACAGGATGGGGAGGAAACCACCCCAAATAGCTTCTTGCCACTCCCAGGAGACACAGGAAAGCATTTTTTTAAAAACAGTTTACAAAAAACTATTCTCTATAAGGTATTTCCATCTTTTGAAATGAACCCACCCCCTTTTAATATATCTTTCTTTTAAAATACTTTTTTATTCTTTGTTATTGAATCCAGGGTTGGGGTAAGTACTTGTTCAGTGGTACTTAGGATCTCACCACACGAAATCCCAAGGTTCAAGCTGATCAAACTCTGAAGTTCCAAAGAACTGAAAACCAGAGAGGGAAAGCAGGGCCTTCAGCTTAAGCCAGCAACATGGAGGCTCAGCAATGCCTTGAGCAGATGTGAATGATCCCAGGAAAGAAAGCAAGATGGATACCTGAGGAAGCCTCAGTCTGAGAGGACACGGTGCCCTACTTTAAGGAGCCTGAATTTGACATGAGACACAGCCCCACCTCAGGGAGACCCGCTCTGAGGGGAAAGGCAGCCCCGACTTCAGGAGATCAAGTCTGATAGGAGGATGGACCTTCATCAGGGGCTTCCCGGTGGCACGATGGTAAAGAATCCACCTGCTAATGAAGGAGATGCAGGATTAATCTCTGGGTCGGGACAATCCTGTGGAGTAGATGATGGTAACCAACACCAGTATTCTTGCCTGGAAAATTCCATGAACAGAGGAGCCTGGCTGGCTACAGTAGTCCATGGTGTCACAAAGAGTCAGACACAACTGAGCAACTGAACCCACATGTAGGAACCCCAAAATGAGGAAACAGCCCTGCCCTTGAGGAATCTCAGTGAAGGGAAGCACAGTACTACTTCGAGGAGACCGAAAATGGGGGGCGACACAACCCTGACCCGAAGAGACTAAGTTCGAGGGGAGACACAGATCTGCCTCAAGGAGACCACTTTGAGGAAACCCAGCCTTGCCCTTGAGGACCCATAGAGAGGGGGAGATACAGAGCTCCTTCAGGGAACCCAAATCTGAGGGGAGACCCAGCTCTGCAGCAAGGAGTGTGAATTGGGGAAAAATAGTCTTGCCTTCAGGAAGTCCCATTCTAAGAATGGAGCCCCATTCTAAGATGCAGTTCTTCCTCAGGGAGCCCCACTACGAGGAAATACAACTCTGCCCTTGAGAATCTACAGTGAGTGGGAGACACAGCACTCCCTCGGGGACCCAGAATCTGAGGAGAAACACAGTCCTGCTCTCTAAGAACCAGAGTCCTAGGGGGAGACTCCATACTAAGCTCCATACTAAGGGGATTAAATGCAATCCTGATTTCAGGGAGCCCAAATCTGAGGGCAGACACAGTCCTATGTCTGTAGTAGCAGGGAGCGCTACTATAAGAAAACACAGCCCTGATCTCAAAGAACCATAGTCTGAGGCGAGTCTGGCTCAGAGAGCCCAGCTCTGAGGGAAAACAACACCAACTTCAGGGAAACCCAGTCTGTGGAGAGAGACAGCCCTGCCTTTGAGGATCACAGTGAGGGGAAGATATACATCTCCATCAGGGAACTCAAATCTGAGGGGAGACACAACCCTCTCTTCAAGCAACCGCGGACTGAGGGGAGACACAGCCTTGCCTTCAGGGAGCCCCATTAAGAGGAGGGGATATAGCCCTTCCATAGCCAGAATCTGAGTGAAACAGCCCTACCCTCAGGAAGTCCATATCTGAGGGGAGACAACTCTGTCCTTGAGAAGCCACAGTGAGGGGAAATCTAGCAGTCCTTCAGGAAACTGTAAGGGAATACATGCCCTACCTCAGGGAACCCCACTATTGTGAAATACAGTCCTGCTCTCAAAGGGCCATAGTCTGATGGGGGAGATACAGCCCTTATTCAGGGAGCCCCACCCTGAAAAAGCACAGTCTTGACCTCAAAGAAACCCAGTCTGAGAGGGAGACACAGAGCCTAATATTGAGATTAGAAACAGTTATGACTTAGGGAGCCCACTCTGAGGAAACACAGCCCTGCCCTTAAGGATCCGTAGTGAGGGGGAGACCCAGCCCCCCCTCAGTGAATAGGAATCTGAGCTGAGATATCACCCTGTCTTCAAGGAGCTGCGGTTAGAGTGTAGACACAGCTCTGCCTTCAGGGACCCTTAGTCTGAGGGAAGACACAACCCTGCCTGAGTGAACTTGAATCTAAGGGGAGACACAGACTTACCTTCAGGGACCCCC